GAGCGTGGCTGGAGCGTGGCTGGAGCGCTGCGCTGGAGCGTGGCTGAGCGTGGCTGGCGTGGCTGAGCGTGGCCGCGGGCCGGAGCGGTTTTGGAGCGTGGCTGGAGCGTGGCTGGAGCGTGGCTGGAGCGTGGCCGGAGCGTGGCTGGAGCGTGGCTGGAGCGTGGCTGGAGCCCTAATAGAGCGGGGCGAACCTCGCTTTTTGAGCCGGCTTGCCGAAAGCCTGAAAGCGGAGTGTCATCGGCGACCTTGGCGCTGACCTTGGCCTGCCTCGGCCGCCGCCGGCCTATTTCGAGCCGCGGGCCGAGCGGTTTTGAACCCGCGACTTTTGGCCCCTCCGGCGCTTTCGGCGCCCTCTGGCGGTCGAACGGGGGGCCTTGTAAACACTGTTTCTGTTGAGGTACGTTTCTCCTCCGTGTTGGCTTACCTCTCCAGACGAGACTGTGTGGCTGCTGGGGCTCAAGAAGGTCGCCCCCCACCCCCTCCCCTTTTTCGCCTCGCTCTGCCAACGTGTGCTGATGTGTACCAACCCCACGGCACCTTTCCTGAAAGGATCTCATTTTCCTCAAGGACATGCTATCTCTTTCTTGCACACACACACACACACACACGCAAGGGCGCCTCGTCCCGCTCAGTGGTAATTTATTTTCAAGTGTGACGCCTGGAGGGGATGGGGAGCTTTCAGTCAAATTATTGTCACGGTTGGACGCGAAGCGGCTCGAGGACAGGAGAGCGGGCTTTGCTTGTTGCTTCGGCTTACTTCAGTCCCCGGCGAGTGGCGGGCCGCCTGTCGCCCCACTGCGGGGGAGGCAGTCTGCAAATAACGGCTTGGATTACAGGGACTCCTCTTATTCAAAAGTCCTCGCCGAGGTCCTGTTGCTGCTACAGTGTAGGTCCTGCCTGAGCGGGAGGAGAGGCCTCTGAATGCCCTGGTCGCCCGCACGGTGGGCCAGAAGACCGGTGGAGGCGGCCGAAACTCCAGACGCGTTTTGAGCTCCAGAGTCGCTGAATGGGACTCGAACCGAACGTGTGACCCCACCAATGGATTGCTCTCCGGACGAGGAATCCATTGGTGGGGTCACACGTTCGGTTCGAGTGCCATTCAGCGACTCTGGAGTTCAACTATCCGGGATTTTGGCCGCCGCCACCGGTCTTCTCGCCCACTGTGCGGCAGACTGGCTGGCAGCGGTCTCTGATGCTGCCGGGTCCTGTCTCCCTTTGAGCGGAAAAAGAAAATATGGAAGGGATATATAAAAAAAAAGGTCGGGCAAAAAAATGAGGGAGCATGTCAGCGCGGGAGCGGTGATGCGGAGCGGGCGGGCTTTGTACGTAGATGGGGGCGTGGGGCGTCCACGTCCACGGGGCCCACGTCCACGGGGCCCACGTCCACGGGGCCCACGTCCACGGGGCCCACGTGCCGCGCTACAGTGGCGCGCCTCCCCCCGGCCCTCCGGGATATTGTCCCGGAACAGGCTTAGCCTCGATAACGCGGCAAGAAGGGAAGGCTTTGGGAAATAAAAAGTGCCCGTGGGAGTTTTGTTACGCGATTCCAGGTTTTCCTGACTTTAAAAAAGGAAAACGGACTGTTTGCACTAACTAAATGAATTTGGAAATTTTCCAGAGTCGCTGAATTGGACTCGAATCGAGCGTGTGACCCCACCAATGGATGGCTCTCCGAACGAGGAATCCATTGGTGGGGTCACACGCTCGGTTCGAGTCCTCTTCAGCGACTCTGGAGCTAAAACGCGTCGAGAGTTTCGGCCGCCTCCGCCGGTCTTCTGGCCCACTGTGCGCCGCCCGCAAAGCCCGCGGGGAAGCGCTAATGGCTGCTTTTTGCCTTCGATTTGCATCCCTTTGCGTCGCCCAGGACTCGCTCCAGCGCGCTGCTGCCGTGCTCTGTGCGGCTCTGCGCCCGCGGGGCTTTAATCCTGTCAACAGGGAGAGCACGCATTTTTGCCTGTCTGTCTGCCGCGCGGTCTTGGCGTTCCGATTTCGTTTTGTGCCGAACAAAAGCCAGCCAGAGCGACTGACTCGCTGCCATGACGACGACATCACCACGGTGCGTTCGTTTTCGCAAAAAGAGAAAAGAAAAATGGAGTCCGGGGGAGTCTTTGTCGTCAGCTCTTGCTCTCCCGGTCCTTAGCGTTGCTGCCAGGCGCCATGGTGCGCCCTCCCGCTCCTGCGGGCGCTCGCTCCGCGGCACACTCGGAACTCCGTTTGACGGTGTCTGCTCGCACACGCGCGCGCCCCTCGCGACTGGCCGTATTGAAGGTTGTTTGCTTCGGAGTGTGGCCCCTCGGCGTGCATGTTGCGCCTGATTGTTTGGAACGGTTGGCTTGCCAGTGGCTGCCAGCTGCTTCTGCTGCGGGTTCCTCGTAGCGACTGGCTGCGGCTGCCTGCTGGCTGATGCCTGCCTGCCTGCCGCCTGGCTTGGCTTGCCTGCTGGCTGCCTGCCGCCGCTGCCTGCTGCCTGCTGCTGCTGCTGGCGCCTGCCGCTGGCGCCGCCTGGCCTGCCTGTGCTGCCGCCTGGCTGCCTGCCTGGCTGCCTCTTGCTTGCTGTTGCTGCGGTCGGGCGGTGGCGACGATCGCTGCCACAATCAGTGTGTCTGTGCGCACAGCCCCCCCCCCTTCCCCTCGCGGCTGTCTCCTCTCTGCTGCCTCTCTGCCGTCATCAACCACCCCGCGCCCCCTCCCCCCGCATCTGTCTCCTCCACCCCCATCACTCAGCATCCCCCTTCCCCTCGGCGGTTTCCGTGCCGCTGCATTCGATACGCTTTGTCTCACTTCCACAAGCAAGGCTCCGCCACGCGCGGCAGACTGACCTAAAAGCCCCCGCAGCACAGTGGGCCGGAGCGCCGGCGCTGGCGGCCGAAACGCAAGAGAGTCGTTGAATGGGACTCGAACCGAACGTGTGACCCCACCAATGGATTCCTCGTTCGGAGAGCAATCCATTGGTGGGGTCACACGTTCGGTTCGAGCCCCATTTAGTGACTCTGCTGCTCAAAACGCGTCCGGACTTTGGACTGCCTCCACCGGTCTTCTGGCCCACTGTGCGCTACGCCACGCTACGCCACGCACAGTCCCTGGCGCGCGGGGTGGCGCCAGCGCGCTAGCCTTGGCCGTGACACTGAGGGTGTGTGTGATGATGGGGACCATCGGGAGGAGAGAGGGAGGGAGAGAGAGAGAGAGAGTTTGCAGCCGAAACGTGGAAGGCAGAAATGACGTGGCGAACGCGCCGCGCTCCGCTTCCAGATCAATACAGAGATGTTTGCCGGCCGTCGCTCTGTCTCTCTCGCACCCCCTGCGGCCACACAGGGGCGCCCCGTGAGTGCGACAGAGACGGAGCGACGGAAAGCGCCTCGCGGAATGAGTCTGAAACGGAAGAGCCGCCCTTCTCATTTCCAGCACGCTGTGCACGGGAAGCCTTGCTGGTGTCTGTCTGTCTGTCTGTCTGTTTGTCTGTCCATCCCTGGGGCTGGCGTTGAGAGCCTCTCGGACTAGCGACGCGCTGTGTCGTTCTCCCGGCAAGTGCTACTCAACCCCGCGAAGGGCGCGCCAAATCACTCCGAATCGCGCTCTCTCTCTCTCTCTCTCTCTCTCTCTCTCTCTCTCTCTCTCTCTCTCTCTCTCTCTCTCTCTCTCTCTCTCTCGCTCTCGCTCTCTGTCTCTCTCGCACTGCCATGGGTCGCTCCATGAGTGCGAGAGAGAGGGAGAGAGAGACCCGGCGCGTGCAACAGCCCTGCAAGCAGCAGCACGGACCCTTCCCGCTCGTCTATTCCCGGCGACGGAGTATCGATCTCTCGATCGCCTATCGCCTCGCGCTCGCTCAAAGTCGCGCACTGGAGCGAGCGCACCTTTTCTTGCTCACCCTGGAGAGAGAGAGAGAGAGAGAGAGAAAGAGAGAGAGAGAGAGGCTGTGGCCGGAGTGCCGCCGCGTTTGCGGTCAGCAAATAAAGAGTCGCGCGAGAGGCGAGAGGCTGGCCGGAGCGCCTGCGGCCTGCTGGTCTAGCCCTTAATGGTAATGGCAATGGGGCGGCCTGCCCGCCGAGCGGCCGTGCGTCGCCGCGGGCGCATTGCCTACCCAGCCGGGCGCTAAGCCTCGCTCTCTCGCTCCCCGGCGACGACGCCTGGGCGGCCTGGGCCATCATGCCAGACGCCTATCCGATTCGTCGCTCCGTCCCCGTCGCACTCCCGGGTGCGAGAGGGACAGAGCGACGACGCGGTAACGTGGAGATTGAGACTTGATCCTTCTTGGAGGCCGGAGTGGTCCTGGTCGCCTTGGGCCAATGGAGCGGGGGGGGGGGGGGGGCCTTCACGCTGCGCCCCTTATACACAATGCCTGGCCGAGCGGCTGGCCTTGGCGAGGCCTTGCCCGTCCTTGACCCACTGCCACGCGTAGCGCGCGTAGCGTACACCCCCCTGCCGGCACCACGTGTAGCGCTCACACACACACACACACTTGTTCTCGCTGGTCCTTATCGTGTTATCGTGTCCTTTGTGACACGTACGACACCTGTCCCTGACGCTGCCTGACACTTCCGATGGTAACTTTGACACCCCACCTCCTCGTCGTCCGCGGCGTGGCCCTGGCGTGGCCCCCCGCGGTGTGCTGCCCGTGGTGCCAGGGCCTCGCTCTTGTTTGCCGCGACCCCCGTGTTGTTGTTTTTGTTGCTGAACACGCCCCTCGACGAGACCTTTGTTGTTGTTGAAGCTGTCCCCCTCCCCCCGGGCCTCCGAATGCACCCTTGTTGTGCGAAGCGCCCCTTTGACCTTGTTGTTGTTGCAGATGAGTACGGGCAGAGCAACAGTGCCGACGACAGCGACGAGGACGTGATCACGGACTACTTGTCCTCGGCCAGCATGGCGGTGCGAGGTGGTCTGGGGCTTGCCGGGGCGCTCGCCGCCGCCGCGCCCACCCCGCACCCCCCAGCTGGTGGGCCTGGCGGGGCTGGCGGGGCCCCCGGCCACCCCCACGGCCTCCACGGCCTCCACGGCGTCGGCCACGGCCCCGGCATCGTGCCCGGCCTCGTGCCCATCATCAGCGTCACGCCGCACTCCCCCGGCATGGGCATGGGGCTCGGCATGGGGCTGGGCCCCGGCATGGGCATGGGCGGCAAGCACTACCCCGTGCTAGGTCAGCTTCAACTGCAATCAGTCGTTGAAAAAGTTTTCTTTGCTTGAGTTGTTTCAAGGCAAATACTGATTCTTTCTTCTTTTTTTTTGCCATGTGCAGAGGACAACCTGCAACATCTTCATGAGATACATGAATCAATTCAGCAAATGCGAGATCTCAGTGTGCAAGCTTACAACTCACAGGTGAGGTTTTGAATTATGAATTTTCATAATTTTTATTGTAAAACTTTTCTTGCTCACTCTTTTCTCTTTTATTTTAGCTAATGCGCTCCAGCCAGTATTCAAGATTAAGCTCTTCTTGCCCATCGTTAGCAGTAGACCCTGGGTCAGATCCAGATCTCCTATCATCGGTTAATTCTTCACCCATTCAAGCACCAAATCTTGGCCTTATTAGCTCGCATATGACTGCGGCATTTAATGATATAATGCATCGTAAAGGTACACAAACTGAATATTGAGAGTCAACTTTACTTTTATTTTCCAATTATATTACTTTATTATTCACTGCTTATGATGTATTGTTTCCTCAAGGTTCGGCCTCTAAAGAGTGGCTGTGGAGAGGTGTTGGTTTTGGCTCAGAGGTATCTAGACGCCGCAGCTGGACTGCTCTTGAGGACCTCTCTAACGGCAAAGTAAAACGTAAATCATCAAGACAAAGGAGGTACTGTTTTGGTTTTTTGTTAAGTACCTTTCTTTGATACACTTGCTTGCCAACGCTCCCTAACTTAAATATTTTATTTCCAGTATGAGTTTAAGTAGTATGGACTCTGAAGCAGAGGATCCTTTCATAGATGTGCCGGACAGTGGAGGTGGCCTTCTTCTAACTGACGGTACGACTTGTTCTGGTCCTGGCCACCAATCTGGCACTGCTGTTGGTGGCCGAAGAAGTGGCGTTTCCACTCATTCTTTAAATGAAGCTGATTTGCAGGTAGGCTTTTCTTAAATAAATGCAATTTGTTAAAGGCATTAGAAAAAGATTTTCCTCACTTTTGTATCCGTTGGTTTAGAACGATTTTGCAAAAATTCAAGCAAAACGAGAAGCAGAATCTCGTCTGATGCCTGCAAGACTGCCTCTTCAAAAGTCTGTGTCCACCCCATCAATAATAGCAGTGCGTGACTTGGCAAGTGCCACAATCCAACATGACGGGGCAGCTCCTGCTATCCAACCGTAAGTACAATGTTTTTAGAAACATAATATGTTAGGTTTATAAAATACATTACTGAAAATGTAGACAAACAGCATGAAGTTACACTTCTGAAAGATTTTAACACTTCAAGCTTGCAAAGCATGGCATTCTAGAGAACAAGTGCCAAGTTTGTCGAAGTAAGTTTTCAATTTTATTATGGTTAAGAGATTTATCTTTTATACTTATTTTTCATGTCTTTTGCTTTTTCAATATGACTGTTGCTTTGTTCCTTATTTGTGAATTAATAGTTTTGGAGAGTTATGGCATTTCTTTACTTGTACATTTCACTGATACATCCTATAACCTGGACCAGGACTTGATGAGTTTTCTTCCAGTATGATAAAAGATTTTATATCATGAAAGTAACAGTACATGCATACTCTTTTTAATTCTGAGAAAATGTGTATGCAACAACATAATTACTAACAAAACCTGTTTGTAGATATGTATGTTTTGCATCAGAACACTTGATGACCTTCATCTGTTAATTCTTAAAGCAGCACTATAATGAAACGAATGTTGCATGGTTTATCTTACCTTTCCTGACTTAAGAGTCCAGATTTCTTTTCTTACTGTTTTGTTATTTATTTTTCTTAATCAGTATATCCTCTAAAAAAAAAAGGACTTTTGTTTTGGTGTAGAGGTTTATAATAATTTGTTTCAGGGAGTGTGTAGTGGCAAACTTTCTTACACAATATTAAATGTTATAAACCTTGTCTCTCAAGAAAAAAAATTTTTCATGAAAAATCTATAAAAAGCCAATGGAAATAGGAAAGTTTTACACTACTCTCCCCTTCTAAGCATCGTTCTGTATGCTTGTGGCACCTTAGCACTCCTTTGAGCTTTTCTGGCACTTGTAGCTTTGTATGTGCACGCCTTGGCGACAGTGGTCAACGACTGGGCACGGAAAGTGAAACAGAAGAAGAAGAAACGCGGCTCATTCCTGCAACTAGCCAGCTTTCACTGCACCATTTGCTTGCTGAGTGAGTACTTGTGTAGATACAATTTCTAAAATGTACCTTGAGCTGCTATGCACGGTCAAGGTATCTGTACTTGTTTCGTCAAACAATTTCAAAACTGCATGAGAGAAAATACTAGATGCCTGACTGATTTCTTTTAAGGAGGCATTTGTAAATAGGACACCATCCTTTGTAAATCCTTGACTCTCACTGGGTCTTGCCTTTGGTGAAATTCTGTGCTTCAGATATTGATTCGGCGGGCTTTGTTAATGATGACTTCTCTCTTCTCCTGTTTCAGTCCTGCCTATGACAATCACGCTGAAAAGCGTAGGAAAAGAGGTAGTTTATTTTTCAGGAAGAAAAAGGTGTGTGTACACTAATATATGTGCTCTAGAAATGTGTTGCATTGTGTGTGGTATTTCATTTGAAGGACCATAACTCAAACTGTGGCAAAAATGTTTCAGGACAAGAAGAAAGTACCTCATCAATGGGTTTCAGTTTGCTATGTCTCCCCTCACACTTGTGATTGGTGTGCCAAGGCACTCACAAATAAACCCGCCTTCTGTTGTGATAGTAAGTATCATATTTCATGATCATTGTAGAGTGAACTGAAGTTTCAATGCAAATGCTGATGGTACCTGGTTTGTTCAGATTGTTCTGCTACTGTCCATCAGACGTCCTGTAAAGATCATATACAGGACTGCAAGGGAAAGACCTCAAAGGTAACATGTCGAAATTTACTAATGATGTTCTTCAATTTATACTTGAAAATGTCTTAAAGCAGCTCTTGACTTTTTTTTTCTTCTTTTTTTTTCAGAATGCCCCCAAGTCAGGTATGAACATCATGGGTCATGCACCAGTCAACAAACAGCCTAATGAAAAGAAGAAGAGTCTTACCAGTGTATCATTGACGTCCAACTCATCCAGCAGGTAATTTCTCAACTTCTTTCTTGGGCACATTGTCAAATCTCATTCATTGCAGTTCACTCACACAATTTTGCTGTGATTTGTTCTGAAAATTGTGTCATTGTTAGTGAATAAGCTGGAACACACAGAAGTCTGAAATTAATTTGATTCATTTATCTTTTAAGGATACTGCATCCTTATTTGACCAGGTTTCTTAATGGCTCAATTTATGTCTATTTCCCTCATGCACTTTCATGGTATTTTTTTTTTCAGTTTAACTTGTTAGGCGGGTGATTGAGCTGAGCTTTCGTTTTACCCCTTTTCAGAATCTTAATCATAAAACAATGCTATTGGTTATCTCTGTTCCTTCTCTTTGTCTTTATCTGTTTTTCCATCTTATGCATGCTTGTAGATCCTTCCTTATCTTATTAGATTTGTAAGATAAGATGGCTCTTTTTACTTTCACTTTTGTTAAGAGTGTGGCAAGGTCATGCTACTGTGCATAGATTGGAATTTTGGTTGCTTTAAAATATCAGAATGACCGATGTTATCCCAAAATTGCTTCTGCTCGTGTATTTGGGTATGGGGTCACATCACTTGTCCTCTTGTCAGAGAACATTTTATGGAGATATTACATGTTCAGTTTTGTCCTAACTAAATTGCAGCTATTTTGTGTAGCATGTGTAGAGATTAATGAAAGCACTGAACAGCACACTCACATTGCTAAGGCTGTGAGAAAGTGTTTGGAATTGGTTCTTCTGCAGCTTTGATAAGATAGTTTTCAGTGCTTCTAGGTCATAGATTGTGCAGCATGATGAACTTAAAAATTTTCTTATATCTAATGTACTGTTTTATGCAGTGCTCTTAATTCAGTGTTTTTAATTTCCTGATTTCCTGATAAGGTCATTATTGACCTTATAAATATTATCTGAAATTCATGCCATGACGCTGGAACTGAACAGCTGTGTTTTTAAAGAAAAAGATCATTGGGACTGTAATATTGGCAAACTTGCATTTGTTCTGATTTATGGACCTTTTGCCATTCTTTCAATGTTACTTGAACAAGAACACTTGTTGCTTCTAGATAATGTTATTTATATGCAGATAACTGTCTAGAGAGGGAACTTTTTTTCTTTTCCAATTTATCTAGTTTCCACACACTTATGATATGGCTTAAAAAGTGACAGTTGCTTGCACCAGGGCATGTCCTCTACTTGTCTGAGAGGCAAAATTTATGTCATGTGTCTAGGTATCCTTTTTCTGCATTTCTTAGTTTTCTTAAAAATTGATCCTCTTAAGAAAATTGCGATAGAGAGCCATTTGCTAAATTTCATAACCAAATCTTTTCTTTTCCCGATTCACATCTATGTTGTGTCTGTGCTGTTTCCTGAACATCTCTCCAGTTTACACTTATACTTTCACCTGTCTTCTGGTCAACTTAAGCACATTGTTCCACCATAGATACTTTGTTTTCCTACCTTTTTTTCCCCTTTTCAATAATTATCTGTCAATGACATAAGCTCAAAACTTCACCCATTGAACATCCTCATTGAGTGGAATTGTGAGAACACCAGTCAAAACATTATGCATGTTTTCATGGCCCCTTTTTAAACTCAATTTTACACCAATCTGCACCCTGTATCTTGTAAGACAGGGCTAATCCTCTTAAAATAGCAAAATACCAATAGGGAAGTGCGTGACAAAACATACTGCCCACCAACTGTGGCCCAGAGCCCCCTTGCTAATCTATGCTTGATACACCAAATCTGTTTGGCACGCGCTCACGCATTCTGTACGACTCGCCAAACGTACGTTTGCCCAACGTTTGCACGTTGGTTGGCGCACCTGGCACGCTCTGCTCACAACCTACTAGGAGGACCACGTTGTGCTACTCCCCTTGGAGGAGGGTGGCAGCCAAGTTGGGAGTTAAGTAAGTTCTGCTAATCAAGATATTGTCAGGATGGCTACAGAGCTCATTCAGACTGTTGCTGCCTACCATTTACTGTGCTGTCATAATTGCAAGTTACTTGTTTCTTGTCTTCCCTCCCTGTGAGACAACTGTCATTTTGTCACCTTCTTTTCATTTTCTGTCTGACTGAGCTTTTTTGGAGACTCTTGGGATGACGTAGATAGATGCTGTTTGAATTCGACTTGTATCGTTTTGGAAAGTAGTTTTTGGTCAACTACAACCGTACTTCGATGTAATCTGCCAACTATGATTTCTGTTTTAAGTTGTTTTTTTATTTTCTTGTAGTGTTCTTAGCAGCGCTGAAATCAACAATGATATTTACAAATGTAGATATATGTATGCAGGAAACTGAGCTTGTAACCCTCCCTATCTGAGTGAGGTGACAATGTTGTTGACTGATGCCATTTATCAGTGATGAATTGCCATTTGTGGATAGTATCCACATGGTGGCCACCTAAACACATCTACAGAATTCATCAAATAATGTCAGCTTATTGTCACAATATTATGTGAACTGTGCATAGCCATAGTTCAAAACTTTGATGGATGCAATGAGGGCCATGTATATCATGTTGATCTTCTTTAAGATTACTGCTTTGACTTCTTCTGCTTCTGCTTCTGCCTCCTTCTTGCCAATATTGTTCGAATTATTTTCAGACTGCTTCAGATATTTGTATCTTCCTTGAAAACGAGCCTCTTTGTATTTTACAGTTTGTGAGCTTTCTTACTTCATTAGAACTGTCAGAAACAAATAGATCTCTGATTTGCTCTAGTGATAAACTTGTTGGTTGACCTTTTTTTTTCTACTTTGACAGCTGTTCAGAAAGTGCTGCTCTTGTAGTGTAGTTGAAAAAAAAAATCACCTTTAAAGAGTATATCTTGTGTAAAGAAGCTTTGTCTTTTTATTAACACCAATACCCTTTCTCATTTTCTTTACAGCCAAATAATAAGTGAAGAGAAGGATCATGATGGATCCCATATGCATGATACAGTCAAGTAAGTAATGTAATTTTGGTGCTCTTTTTAAGTGCTGTGGTAAAGGGTAAAGTTTAAATGATTTATTTGTCTTTCAGCTACTCAGATGAAGTGCCCTTAGTGCAGTACGAGTTTCTGGATGAAAGTGGGTAGTCTCTTGATGAAAATTAATTTTTCATAATTCTCAATGTCTAATGAATGACACATTTCATTTACTTTCAGGTCCAGTGACTGCTAGTGAACTAGAGTTAGATCCAGTTCATGGTTTGCAAGCTGAAGAACCAGACTCCTGGACCCCAACAGTTAGTAAAGAAGTAAGCATTTGTTTCAAATGAATAGCAAAGTTCGCTTGTCACTTTACTTTCCAATCACTAATTACTCATTTATTCTTATGTAAGGTGACCAAGAAATTAAAAGAGAAAGAAATTAAGAGGCAGGAACATATGTATGAATTTATTTTGACAGAAAAGCATCATTGCTTGACACTCAGAGTTATGCAAAAGGTAAGCACAAACAGTCTCTTTGTTTTTTTGTTTTTTCTTTCAAATTAAATTTGCTGAATTCTTAATATATCTTCTGTTTACCAGGTTTTTGTGGAAGGCCTTCAAAAACATTTCCAGCTGGGTCCAAATTTGGCAAGAATGTTCCCCAGACTTGCTGATCTCACAGAAATTCATCTTGAGTTCCTTGCAAAACTAAGAGAGAAACAACGAGCTTCTCCGGTGATAGACACTCTCAGTGATATCTTACTGGAGCAGTTTTCTGGAGATGGAGCATCAAGACTAAAAGCGTGCTATGGAGAATTCTGCTCAAGGCATCGTGATGCTGTCAACATGTACAAATATTACCTTCAGCACGATCGTAGATTTGGGGAATTTGTCAAGCATTGTCAGGTAAAGAGAAGTAGCTGGTCTCTAAAACTAATTCACTTATTTTTGGTGGCTCATGTCTAAAATCTTGGTTTTTCAATTTGCAGGGGAACCCTTTGCTTAAGAAAAAAGGAATTCCTGAGTGCATTTTATTTGTTACTCAGCGGCTGACTAAGTATCCTCTCCTCATTGAACCTCTGATCAAAACCAGTAAAGATAACAAAATGGAGCAGGAAAAACTTCACCGAGCTCTGGCTCTTGTTAAGGAGATTTTGGTGGAGGTTGATGCCCAAGTTGCAGAGCAAGAGAAAGAAGACCGGAAACTTGAAATATACCATAAAATTGATGCCAAGTCCTTTACATTGCACAGAGGCAGAAAATTCAAAAAGTCTGATATTCTTGCTGATAGTCGTAAATTAAGGTAAATATTTCCCAGTAAATAATAATAATCATTTTCTACCCTATTATGCAATGTTAACCTTCGTTCTTCTCTCTGTTAAGGTTTGAAGGTGTCGCAATGCTGATGCAAGGCAGGAGTAAAATGCAAGTTGTCCTTGTGATTGTATTGTCTGATGTCTTGTTCTTCCTCCTTGAAAACAACCAAAAATATTCTTTCTTCACCCCAGATAACAAGGTAACCAAATCTTAAAAAAAAAAGATTAAAAACATTTTATGTCAGTATTTATAATTTTCAACCATGGGTCTGTTTGCTTCCAATTTTTAGGCAGGTGTGATATCTTTACAAAAGTTATTGGTCAGAGAAAAAGCAGGTCAGGAATCTAGGGGGATATACCTGATATCTTCAAACCCAGCAGATCCTGAAATGTTTGAGCTCAAAGTGCATAAACCCAAAGATAAGCAAACATGGATTCAGGCTGTGAGGGCTGCTGTGCAATGTTGTCCAGAAGATGAAGAGGATGGGACTAAACTTAGTCAAGAAGCCAAACAGAAACTCTTTGATGCAAAACAAGAACAGATAAGACAAATAGTCGGTAAGTTTCAATCTGTCCATATCTTAACCCCAAACATACTGAAGGCTCATTCCAAAACATCATCAGTTGAGTTTCTCAATGTCTGTGGGGTAACTTGTCATTTATTTGAGAAATTTCTTTCTGTAAACACTAAAGACTCAAGAGCTAGAGTTTGAGGGGAGGGGCATTTCTTCTTTTCTATTCAATTTGAAAAAGACTTTAACAAGGTTTGTTTGTTTTTCGAAGGCTCCCCCCATGGGGAATCAGAAGTTCAAGGTACAGTAGCTCTGAGCTGTAAACCAGGCATGTTTTAGAGTCATCTGTATTGCCGCCCTATGGCCGCCCTCTGGTGCATGTTCATGGCTTGGCTATATAGTCATCCGTTCGCGTCTTTTCGGAATCTAATGGTTACACTAATTATTTGATAACTTATCAAAGATGCTTCTTTTGTAAATTATTAGGGCAATGGTAAAAACAGCAAATGATTGCTTCCACGTTATCTTAACGTGAAAGTGGCTTTTTAACTAAAGGTTTATATTTCCTAAGCATGCTGAATAGACTTTTTATGTACCCAAACATGAGGCAGGTATCTTCCTCAAAAAGGCCAGGAATTGGATGCTGTTTCATCTTAAGCCTTATTTTGAATAGAATTAAATTTTTGATCAAACTAAGAATTAAAATAGGTCTGTGGGTGTTTTTTTTTCCCTCCCTGTTTTTTCTTAGATGCCGTTGGTTTTTGGTTTTAGGAATGTGGCTGATATACAAATCCCCTTTGCATGGCTTAACCACAAAGGTTCATGCCACCTTTGTGCCCTTGAAACATGCAAAGGGATTTTTTCTGTGAATCAATCACCTTGTTGTGCCAGGCTTCATAAAATTGAAAAATTTGAAACTCAATGTAATATTTTTCTCTACTATTTCAGGAATTTTGAGACAAAAAGACGTAGAACAAGCTTTGATATTGGAAGAGAAAATGGCGCTGCAGCAACAGCTAGCCGGTATTTCTTCAAGCAACAGCACAGTGGATTCTCCCTCTTACTGCCATCTGGTGTCGGAAGATATGGACTCACCTCGTATGTGGCAAGAAGTTCTGCGAGCCATAAGGGTACGCTAGTTGGCAGTGTTGTTTTGAGTAGATGCACACCAGACAAATTTATTTAGCAATACTGATTTTATTTTGTGTTTTGTGTTTTTCCCAGGAGGTGAATAGACTTGCGAGTTCTTTGTATGTTTCTGGAACGAACCTTTCTCGAAGTGTTAGTTCAGTTGGTGAACACCAGAGCTCTGCCTATGTATCTCCCACACTACCAAAGCGGGCTGAGACTTTTGGTGGATTTGATAATGCCAACAAAGATAAAGAACAAGGTACTGGTACCATGAGTAAAGGTGAGTATTACTTCTTGACATGCGTGCATTTATTGGAAAAAGGCCTTCATGAAACTTTTTCTCTCTGCTTCAGTATTGAAAAAGCCCCAACCAGCCCCACCTCAAGTAACTCTACATGGACATAGCCGAGAACCATCCATTTCTTCTAGTCCAGCTTTAACCCCAGATTCTGAAGCTGGGCGTTCTTCGAGACCGTCTATTCACTCAGTCGTAAGTGTTTTGCATCTATAACTAATATTTTGTTAGTATGGATTATTTAACATGCTTGTGTTTTCGTCCTTGAAGGAGTCGCCATTGAGAAGTGCTATAATGGCTACCGTTCCATCTGGTATTGCCCAGCTCATTGCTCCACCCGATGCACACGCGGCCGCACAAATCTCTAGTTCGGCTCCTGGTGAGCTGCCAAGCCTAATAAGCCTAGGACAGGAGCAGCAAATGGTTGCATTGCAGTTGTCTCACCATGTCTACACCCTCAGCAGCATCATTTCTCAACAGATGACCAGTATTGATAAGTGAGTATTTTTCTCGGGACTTGCTGCAGGTTTATTCTTACCTACTAGCACTCACTCCTCATACCTATTATTTTACAGCTTGCAGGCACAACTGGCAGCTTGCCGTTCGCAGTTATCAACGGAAAGCGAAAGCAGGCAGAAGCCTGCTTATCGGCAGGCGCAACAGCTGGAGGAACTGCGGAACTTGCAAGACCGCCTCTCTCAAGAGAAGGAATTGTGGGCTAGAGAACGAGAGGAACAGGAGAAAGAGTTAACTGAGCGTAAGAGCGACCTTCAAAGACAACAGGTAATGAGGGTTATTGAAGGAAACTGAAGATAAATTTAACCTGTTTTTTTGCCTATCCCATCTTATCTTGTTTTATCTTCTCAGGAACAAGTCCGTTCGGAGCAAGCTGATGTGAGACAGCAGCGGGAACAGCTCTTTCGGAAGCTGGAAATGCTTACCAATCAAGGCATTTTGATCAGTCCCAACATGCCTGTTGTAACAACTCCAGGCAGTGGGATGGCAGGGGCCGAAAGTAGTGAAATCTCTTCACATGATGTTGACTCAGCTTCTTTGTCGAGCGGCTCAGGTCTCTCACAGCAACTCACTCCCTCCCCACCTGTCCGCAAAATGGAATCAAACAAGTGGAAAGGGCCTCTTAGCAAACCTGCTGCTGTACCTATCAATCTTATAAGTGCAGCCAATCAGCAAAAGGTGAAGTTTCTTTAATGAAAATTGTAGCATAAGAATCTTAACTGGCTCTCTCTTAAAAAATGGTTCCATAACACTGGTGTTGTTTGTATGTGTTTACTTTAGGTTGCTCAAAATCAAGTCAAACAGCAGTTACCATTGAAATTGTCGAAGCTGAGCAGTAGTAGCATTGGCTCAGGAAGTAACAGTACTGGAGGAAGCAGTTCTGGTATGGGAGGCAATGCTGTTGGAAGTCTTCAGCAAATGCTGCCAATGAAGTTGAGCCAAGGAAGCCAAGGCAGTGTTGACTCGCGCAGGAGCATGGGTAGTCTGAGCGGAGCAGGCGGTGGCTCTGCCTCGGGTCAGTGAAACGGTGAAACTGAAAGGGTGCGGTCACTCATTATGTCCAGTCCGCATGCAACTGCAGCAACACCAGCATCAGCACTGCTACAGCACTGCTAGCATGGTGCAGCACTATGTAGTTTTTCGATCGTCTAGTTAGCTGTCACCATTTTATATACAACTTTATGCACAATGCTTTGCATGTCTTTGCAGCTGTAACTGCTTTAAGTAAAGTCTCTGTAACAGGGATGTTGTCAGGAGATTAAAGTTGAGAGGTTTGAATAGGAGAGGTTCTGTGTATTAAGTTCGATGAACTTTGTGTACATAGATATGATTCAGTGTCTTTGTTGTTATTACAAATATGTTGAAAATCATATCACCTTATCTGCTTTGCTTTTGCTTTTTATTATAGTGTCATGTTACACAATTATCTGTTGATTGTAGTTTTTTTTTTTTTTTTTTTTTTAATTTTACCAGATAAATGCACTAAGATTTATGTTTGACAAAGCTGTGTATAGTTGTTTATTCATCACTCTTTCTGTTAACTTGGTGGATGCTGTTTTGCATGCAAAGGACAGGCAACCTGTAGTTCGTTGCAAATAAGTACATCCTACTACTGGAGGGCCTTCTAATGAGTGATAGTACTAAAATTAAAAGTAGATACAGTAGTTTTAAAAATACCACCTATGTTTTCTATTATTATGTTCTAGCTTTTGTGTGACTGTTTAGTAAATAATAGTAGTTTTGCTTTGTTTGCAGGAACTTTAAGTGGATACCATCGCCTTAGTTCGGGCAGCATGAGTCCCCCCCCACCAGCCTCTGCCCCAGTCTCTACTCTGATCCCAAGTCATGCTCGGACCGGATCAAGTCCCGCCATGATGCAAAATGTTTCCCATCCTGATATGTTGGCACTCTCGAGCTCCTCACCTCATGCGTCTGGAGGACCAACTTTGCCAGGAACGTCAGGAGGAAATCGGGCTGGCCGAACCAACACCTTTCCCAAAATCCCAGACAAATTTCGAATGCGGAGTCCAGACTCCAACTCAACTTCGAAACCTCAAACCCACCAGCAAGAGGAAGAAGTGATATTTTTCTGATTTCAATTGATAAAGTAGTTGAGACTCTGAATCAATGAAAGAGCAACTGTATTCATGATTTATCTTATTCTTGAACAGTTCACACCGACGTTAGTTACCAAATGTATTGTTTGTTTGAAGGCTTTGTTTGAATGATATATTTAGCCAAAGAACTCTCATTGAATGCTGATGCGTTTGTGAGTCTTCATTAATATGTGGTTCGTTCTAATAATTGACAATGCAATGGTCAAATGTGATACTCTTGACATATGCAGCGAATTCCATTTATATGTATTTGTGAGTGCGTTTCTCTTTGTTACATTTAGACAACCTAGGTACTGTGAAGTTAACATTTAAGTTAATCATTGTTTCTTCATGCCCAGCACTTCCATATAAAAGTGATATTGACCTAGCACTGCTTTTGGTATTACTTTTACCAGAATCAGTATTAAATTTCCTGTATTTCTTGAACTGTGAAACTGTGACAATATATCATTGACTGTGCGAGCTGCATAATCATGAAATTGCATAGTTCTGAAAACTTATAAAAGTATTTTGCATAGAAGTACAGTGGTTATGTAGATACACTTCTAATATGGTAACTAAACAAGTCAAAGTCAAGCTGTGAGGCTTGTAATTTTTGAACTTGGTAAGTTGGAACCTATGTTTTATTTGGCTTCCTTACCATTTTCAGCAATGTACAAATAATTCTGTTTGTAAGTATGGGAATTTTATTTATTTTTGAATGTGGACTCTGATGGTGCTTCTTTCTATTTTTCTTGTTCATTCCATGGCAGCTTTTTGCCACCTTTGCAGTTCATTCCTATCTTCTTTTCGTTCCAGTGAATACTATAGTTGTAAACATTACCCAACCCCAAAAAGAAATTATTGAGTGTGGATACATTTTATTACTTGTGAGTTGCCGTTTCTTTCATTATCCACATGCAACTGGTTTATGATTGTGTTAGAGTGATTTTACTTATGTAATGTGCAATCTAGGTGTGTGCAATACCTCCTCCTCTCTGTGATGTTAAAAATGTGTGTATTAGATCTTTAAGAGTTGTACATTGTTTTCTTCTCAACATTTTAATGTTACTAATTTTTTGTGTTCATATTGAAGTCATATTTTTGTATGGAGCTCTGTTCTTTGTTGAGGAAGAAAAAAAGGGAAAGCTCTCGCAATTTGAGGTGCTGTGATGCAAGAGCAAAGTATTGCGAATGCACTAAGGAGGCTTTCAAAGAGGATATTTATTTTTATTTAGATCTTGGTCTGTGTTAATAACCATTCCAGGGTAGCCAATGTCCATGGTAATGTAATACTGATATTGCTCCCTTGTCTTATTGTGCATAATGAAGGCCAAATGAGCCTCAAATTAGTTTGGAGCATGTATAAGCTAAACTAAAACCATATTTATTTGTGGTAGCTGTTAGATACCATCTCTATATCAATGACATTACCTTTACCCTAGTTATTGCATCCTCCATCTCCTCTCTCAAAAGGCTAAGTCCTTGCCTTTTTTCGTGTTTAGGTATGCTCAGGCTCAGTTACAAAATTAGTATTTGGCTTTGGCCTCTAGCTACTAGCCCACTCGTACATGTTACTGAAGACTTATTATTGTAATTATTACTATTGCTCTGTATGGCAAGAGTGTGAACAGTATTATGGCATTACCTTATTTCTTGCAGCTGATTATTACACATGCAATCATTTTAATAGAGTGATTCGTTATGGCCCCATTTTCTCTATCAACTTTTGGGCTTGTTGCCCCAACAAATCCTGTCATATTTTACCTTTTATCTTTCCTTCAATGCATTACTAATGCATTTGTGCAGTATTGATTTTCTTCAGCTCGACACTTGTAATCAATTAACAAAGTGTAAAAAGTAACAAAAAAAGGGAATAAATTTTTTAAAAAATAATTGATATGTGCAGGCCACTTATCCTCTGTTCCATATTTTATTTATAATATTATTTTAATGTCTGATATTGACCCTTTGAAGAGATTCAATGTTTTAATTTGTGGTTGAGGGGGTTCTTTTCAATAGTATGTTATTGTTTTGTTTCTTTTGTAAGTGTACCTTGTAACTAGTTGAGTTTAAAAAATTGATGTAACATGGCTGGCTTCTTAACATCCATGATCACATTACAAACCAGGTTGTTGTGTGGTTTGTTTTGTCTTACGATTTAATTGAACTCAACAGCTGCCAACAAGTAAAGCAACCTCTATCATATTATTCCACTATTTGGATATGTTATTCAGTGCATCAATTTTTATTCAACCAAAATTTACACCAAAGATTATTTTGTTGGAACAATGAAATGAACCTGTATAGATGTATGAAACAATTGTGTAATTTTATGTGAATACTTTTCCTCTTGAAGATCAGCATTTTACTTTACACTCATGACTGTAGGTAGAAATGATAGATCCAAGTGTGTTTGACCTGATTTTAATTCTTACCTTGTTTTTACGAATTACTCTTATACGCTGCTGGACTTATGTTTGTCTTTTTCTCATGCAAATGAATTGGTTTTATGTTCATTGTCTGTCTGTGCCAAATTTTCTCTGATGTCTATTTTTTAAAAGTAGTAATAGCAGTTAAGCAGTGAAGACTAATGTTACATACTTTTTCTCCGCCTGAAGTGTGTCTTGGTAGCCTTCCTGTTGACTAGATGCCAAGTACTGATTTTAATTTGGCAAAATTAAATGTTTCGTCTTCAATAGCTAGAGTATTTTTCCTGAATGAGATAAAGAGGTTCTGATAGTTTTTTTTTCTCCCATTTCTTCTTTTATTGGTATGAGTTTGAGAGAGAGAAAAAGTTAGTGGGTGGTTGACTCTGTGGTCTTCTTCCAAAAAGTGTGTGCCCCTTCTGCTGTGCCTATTTTCTAGTGAGATAATCAGAAATTTCCGCAATCTCCCTTTCTATCAAATTTTGAGGTAGTAGACATCCTTTTCCAATATTTTTTGTAGACTATTCCATGTAATCTAGCAATAAGCAAGCAATACTCTTGTTACTAATCAATCAGAAAATATACTCATCCTATGGCCTACTGTCTATGTCTCATCATAAAATGTTTCATGTCTCAATTTAGAATTTCAATATTGAGAAATTCTCTTGTATAAGATATACGTATATCTAATTAGATGCTGATGAGTGGATTGTCCTTAATTTCTGAAGGTGTTTTTATTTTCACAGGAAAAAGGCAGCCCTTCTCATTGAGACTGTACAATCTAGGTATAGCTGTGTGCTTTTGTTGCTATCACCTTACAGTGTGTGAATCATTTTCCTTAGACTCAGTATCTTAATGTGCCCATTCCGTTTTAGGATAATTTTTTTGAATCTATCTGAGTTGTGCTTTGGTTTTATTCTTTTTTATTTGTACTTGATATGTTGGCTCACTGATAATATATTGCTGTTATGCATTTGATGAAATTATCTATTTTGTGATAACATTGTATATACTTGTTAGTAGACTTAGCAATGCGTGTTATTTTGTTCATTGCGCCTAACCTTTCCCATGATATGGATTTTGTTTCTACCTTTTATCTTACAATTGTCATATTTACCATATTTTTCATTGCTCTGTACAGTGTGGTGTCATGTGATATTCAACTTCACAAATCAAAGAAATAGGGTCACCTGTGTGCAAAAATTATAAAAATGATCCTGCATGACCAGCCCTCAATATTGTTCATATTGGCTGGTCTAGATTTGATTCCGTCGGCCATTTTTGTGGGATTGCTGTGTCTGTGCTATGCAAAATAACACTCAATCTTCAAAGTGTAGGATTTTTCTTTGCCCTATGCTCATAATCAGTACTTATGTGCAGATCTTCTGATCCATTTTTCAAGGATCCCCTGGTCTATTTATTTTCATTTTACTGTGCAGTGATGGTAGGTAGGGAGCCTTTGGTACCCCATGTATGATTTTTGTTACTTTTCTGACAATCATTCCAGGAAAATTGTACTATTCTGTAAATACCAGAAAACGATGTAAATAAAACACTTGGAGAATGATTTTAAGTACGCTTGTTGTTTTTCCTTTTTCCTTTCCACTCACGCCCTTTACGAATCCCAGCCCCAGTTGGTGGGCAGGGGTTTGGAGCCGATGCCCGTGATGGAGCTGATCCAGCCAGTGAAGGAGCTGCCGGAGGCGATGTTGGCGATGCCTGCCTTGCCCTTGCCGAAGGGCGCCTCGTTGGAGGTCACCAGGTAGTACTTGCCGCGCTTGCCCCTGCCCAACCAACAGAGTTCACTCACACTAGTAGGGAAACAGAACAGCCTCTCTCGCGCATCCGCCCTAGGAGTGCGAGAGAGAGAGAGAGAGAGAGAGAGAGAGAGAGAGAGAGAGAGAGAGAGAGAGACCACTCACCGCGCCGTGCCGGCCTTGATGCCCATGTAGACGACGTCGTTGTGCTGGCAGCCGTCCTTGGTGAAGTCCTCCCACGACGGGCAGCGCACTGCCGGGAAGGCCGTCTCGTTGGCCAGCGCCTCGGCGAAGAAGTGCCAGGACCGGTGGTGGCTGCAGTGGCCTGCGCGGAGAGAGGCAGAGCGGCATTGGCGCTGCAGGCCCAGGCGACCAGAACTCTCGACGCGTTTTGAGCTCCAGAGTCGCTGAATGGGACTCGAACCGAACGTGTGACCCCACCAATGGATTCCTCGTGAGGAGAGCAATCCATTGGTGGGGTCACACGTTCGATTCGATAGTCCCGTTTGGCGACTCTGGGGCTCTAAAGGCGCCAGGAGTTTTGGCCGCCTCCACCGGCCTTCTGGCCCACTGTGCGGCCGAGAGAGAGTGTGTGTCGGAGTGCCACTGACCGTCGTAGAGGCCGACGCCAGTGTAGTTGGGGCAGCCGGGCTGCACGCGCGTGCCGTTGTTCGGCCAGAAGTCGAGGTGGCCGTTCTGCTGCGTGAAGCCGAAGAAGCCGGCGTCCGTGTGGATCACGTCCACCAGCTCGGCGTCCTCGGGGCTCAGGTTGGGGATGCCCTCGAACGTGAAGCCGGGCAGGGCGGGGTCCAGAGCTGTGGAGTGGAGGCGGGTTGGCGCAAGCGGCGCTTAAGGGTGGAACGCGTGGTGGGTAGGCAGTCCCGTCGAGCAGGGCTGCGCGCGGGACCTGCAGTTGCCTACCCAGCACGGCGCTCCAGCCGCCGACGGCCTTGGCCTTGGCGCTCCACAGTTGATTTGCCAGAAGACCGGCGCAGGCGGTCAAAACTCTAGACGCGTTTTGAGATCGAACCGAACGTGTGACCCCACCAATAGATTCCTCGTCCGGAGAGCAATCCATTGGCGGGGTCACTCGTTCGGTTCGAGTCCCATTTAGCGACTCTGGAGCTCAAAACGCGTCTTTTGGCCGCCTCCACCGGTCGTCTGGCAAACCCACTGCCCCCACCCTACCTGTGATGCGGGGCAGCTTGAAGTCCAGGTCCTTGGCGGTGACGCCGGCGAGCTGGCCGCCCAGGGAGTGCGCCACGATCCAGAGGGAGTCCTTGCGGAGGCCGGCCTTGACCATGCGCGTGATGGCGCGGGCCAGCGCGTGGCTCACCTGGAAGAGGTTGAAGAAGGCCCTCACGTAGGGGGTCTCCGCGTAGTAGTTCCAGTCCACCAGGATGAAGTTGTGGTCGCCGCGCTTAAGGAAGGCTGCAAAGTTTCAAAATGGCTCTAGGTCACGCCAGTGCTTCCATCTACAGATATCCAGCAATGAAAAAATTGAGCGGGCCTAAACCTTCTTGAGTTTAAATACGGATTCCGAAATTCTCCTCGGCCTTGAGCTGTGAGACTTTGAGTCTCGTTAAAACCCGAACCTCATTGACTGCAATTCCCTTTGGCGCTCACCGTTGGCCACCAGCCCCACGCTGGCGCTCTGGTTGGACTCGGTGTAGCCGTGCATGTAGAGCACGGTGGGCTTGGCCTTGTCGAAGCCGCGGTGCGCCAGGATCTTGGCGGAGTCGTTGATGTTGAACGTGACGTTCTGGTCGCGCCTGGAAGAGGACCGGTCAGGATTGCCATACGTAAAAATCGTGACGAGTGGTGCAAGAATTTGCTTCCGAAGGACTTACAGGTACAGTGTCAGGTTGATGTTGTCTCCGAATTTCTCAGCCCATCCTACCGCGTCCACAGTGCCTGTAAGAACGATAAACAAGTTGGCGAAACGAGACCCTGGTTGCGTACACTCGGAAGTCTCTCCAGCCGCCACTCACTGCACGCGAACCACAGGCTGCAGACGGCCGCCAGCAGCGCGCAGGCCCCCCAAGCGGCAGAGGCCATCTCTGGAGGACTAGAAGAAGAGCGTGGCGACGGCGAGGCGGGCGACTGGAGACTGCTGGAAGCAGGCTGGAGGCTGCTGGAGGCGGGCTGGAAGCGCTGGAGCTTTCCGGCCACCGACCGCTGCCCGGTCCAGGGTCCAGCGGGCCATCCTTTATCCATGCGCCGCCGCCGAAGCCACCATCGAGCGGACGCACCGACAGGCGGTTTAGAAAAATAAAAAAATAAAGCGACTGAGAGGCTGGCTCTTCATATAACGTGTTTGGTTCACAAGGTGGGGATCGGCGGAAAATTTGGTATCTGTTATTCTATCCGCTCGGGTGCGCGACACCCGAGGCGTGTTCTCCGCGGGAAGATTCTTTGTCATGCATAGGTCAGGGCATCGATGCAGTTAACTTCAGGAGTCTCAAATCGCCATCAGTTATTCATTTGAGTTTATTTATTGACTTTATTATTTCATTCGTCCTTGCCGTGGGGGGCGCTGGGCGCGCTAGACGTTCTCGGCGCTCTGCTGGAACTGGAGCAGCACCACGACGTACGCCACCACGGCGGCGAACATCTAAAATTAGAAGCAAACGCTCATTCCATGTTTTCCTTTTCCTCCCAGGCGATTATCTCCGCTTCCTGGATGCGCCTATGCCTGCGCGGTGATAACGCAGATAACCCGTCCTTTGGCCTGGGGGGGCTGGGGCCTAGGGCCTAGCGGGGCACATCGCGGCATCACCTGCTGCTTGGCCTCTGGTCGCGGAGCACGGCAGGGACCTCGAGGCCCCACCGAGGCCGACGGTCAAGCGCGGACCGGCCAAGCCGAGCCGAGCAGAGCCGAGCGCGGTGACGAGCATTTCGCAGGTCTCCCGAGTCATCGCGTATGACGCGACATTGACACTGACTCGCATGGCGCCACTTTCACCTCCGGGGCACTGGCCTGGCACTGGCCTGGCACTGGCCTGGCACTGGCACGCATGACGCGACTTGCACTTTCGGACCAGCATGACACCCCGACTCACCGCCCGCAACCTGCATCCCAAGTGACATGCACTTTTTGAATTTTTAGTGGTTTTTGTTTTTTTTTTCTTTCCAGAAAGTTTAATTTTTTTCGGAGTGCCCCCAGGAGGGAAGGCAGGAACTGTCCGCCCGTCTGTCTGTCTCGGCGTCCGCCCGTCCGTCCGTCCGTCTGCCTGTCTGAGTGTCTATCCGTCAAAGTGTCAAGTCTGTCTGTCTGTCTGTCTGTCTGTGAGTCTGTCCGTCCCCCCGTCGTCCTCCTTGCCGGGGCGACGAGTGTTGGTGCGGTACGCCGGGCTACGCCGGGCTGCACTTTGTCCGATCACACGTTGCGACCACTTATCTCACTTAAGCCCGTTCGGCTGGCTTCGGCTGCCGAGCGCGCACGCTGCCGCACGCCGAACGCAGCCGAAGCCCCGTGAGTGGAGCCGAACAGCCGAACGCGACCGAGCCGCGCCGTGCCGAGCCGAACCAAACCCCGAGTCGCCGGGTGTCTACAAGAAGACGTGTGGTCACACAGAATGTTGTTGCGTCGCGCGCTGCTCGCCGGCCTATCGACAACTGTCGCTCGTGTCCCCCTCGTCCAGCCACTCCGTCCACGAGCCCTGTCCACCATGGCGCCCCCAGCCAAAGTCATCTACATGGCCAAGAACTTCGCCGGCGAGCCCAAGCCCACCGACTTCCAGCTCAAGGAGGAACAGCTGCCGGACCTCAAGGATGGAGGTGCGTACTACGTTCCGCTCGTTCTAGCCGTACTGTACATACACTGTACCACTGCGAGCCGGCCGGCAGCGCGCTGTGTTTAGTTTTTTACGGCCGGAAGGGGGAGGGGGGGCCTTGTTTGGGAGGCGTGGCCGCCCGGCGCGTTTGGACGGTAGTGTGGTTTGTTGCACGATGTTTGCGATGGTAACCAGGGGACTCCGGGATTATTCTTGAAGTAGTTGCGGTGGTTATTGCAGTACAGAGTAAAGGGCTAAAGGACCGGTCGGGAAGGGGAGGGGGGGGGGCACTGAGCTAGGCGTCCGCACTTAACAGTCACCGGTCATCACGGTTGCGAGGTGCGAAACAGCCGAGAACGCGGAAGCCAAACATGGTTTGGTGTATAGACACTTCCAACGCCGAATAATCATAATTTTGGAAACTGTTTGCGGTGCTTCCCCTCCACTCTGGGTTTTGGTGGAGGTGTCTATTTCGATCCCCAAATTAGCTGATCGGGAAAGCACTCCTCTTATCGTGTTTACAGAGATCCTCGTCGAGGCGGAATGGATGAGTGTCGACCCTTACATGAGGTGAGCCCTCTCAGCCACTTTTCTGTGTTTTTATCTCCGACCTTGCCTGCGCGTGATTGTCACGTAACGACACTGTACTCGATAATAATGCGACTTCGTCCTTTGGCAGGGCCTACATGGTGCGCTACCCTCCGGGCACCAAGATGATCGGCGGGCAGGTCGGAAAGTGAGTAAGAGCAATCCATTGGTGGGGTCGCACGTTCGGGTCGAGTCCCATTTAGCGACTCTGGAGCTCAAACGCGTCTGGGGTTTTGGCCGCCTCCACCGGTCTTCTGGCCCACTGTGCGGCGAGGCGTACCTTGGCGTAACTTGGCTCCTCTCCTCGCAGGGTCCTGGTGTCCAAGAACAAGGGCTTCCAGGTGGGCGACCACGTGGTCGGCTACCTGGGCTGGTCGACGCGCACCATCGTCAACCCGGACAGCACCCGAGGGGACATGACCAAGGGCGACCTGGAGAAGGTTCGCCACCTGGACGTGCCGCTGTCCTACAACCTGGGCGTCCTGGGCATGCCTGGGTGAGTGGCACTGAGTGCCTCGCGCTGCCCCACTGCCGTGTCTCGCACAAGACTGACAGCGCTTTGCCTTTCAGCCAAACCGCGTACTTCGGCCTCTTGGACCTCTGCCAGCCGAAGGCGGGTGAGACGGTGGTGGTGAACGGTGCCGCCGGGGCGGTGGGCTCGCTCGTGGGCCAGATCGCCAAAATCAAGGGTGAGGCGTGTGGACCTTAGAAACGGACTCCAGGTCGAGCAGTGCCTTATCAACAACGTCGGCCTGTCCGTTTCAGGGTGCCGCGTCATCGGCTTCGCGGGCTCGGACAGCAAGTGCGAGTGGCTCAAGAAGAGCCTCAAGTTCGACTTCGCCTTCAACTACAAGACCTGCAACATCCTGAACGCGCTCCGCGAGTCCGCCCCCAACGGCGTGGACTGCTTCTTCGACAACGTGGGTCCCGCTCCACCCTCCACCCTCCGTAGGGGTGCGGGGCACGCGGTTCAACGTCTTGTCTTGGCTTGCAGGTCGGCGGCACCATGAGCAGCGTGATCCTGTCCCAGATGAACCTCTTCGGCCGCGTGGCAGTGTGCGGCTCCATCTCGTCCTACAACGCCGACATGAAGGACCCGCCCCTAGGTCGGTGTCGCCTCGCCGTCGAAAGTTGTTCTTTCAGAGAAGCGATGGGTGTTGTCTAGCTGTTAACTGATGTCTCTGCCCCCACAGCCCCCGTGGTGCAGCCGTCCTTGGTGTTCAAGCAGCTCAAGATGGAGGGCTTCGTGGTGAGCCGATGGCGCGACCGCTTCGCCGAGGCCACCGACCAGATGCACGCGTGGGTCAAGGAGGTGCGTTGGTTTGAACCTCATTTCCGGAGCTCTATTTGGAAAATTTGCCAGTGTGCTGCCGATGGTTTGCTAACTGTCTCCGCGTCGCTTCCAGGGCAAGATCGTCTACCAGGAGCACGTCTACGAGGGCTTCGAGAACATGCCCCACGCCCTGATCGGCATGCTGCGGGGCGAGAACACGGGCAAGGCCGTGGTCAACGTGTCCAAGCTCTAGACGACCCCCTCCGCCACTTCATCCCCCTTCATGTTCGCCATCGTCACAATCCCATGAGATCCCTTTGCGAAGCTGTGATATTTCATTAAAAAAGGCTTTGTTTGGTTTCAAAAAAATACGAGTTTTTCTTTGTTTTCGCCTGGGACGGAACTTACCGACGCGAGCGAGCCCTTGTTGAGGTCGACGAACCCCGCCAAAGACACACACGGGTGGCTTGAGTTGACGATGCGAATCATCAAGTTGAGCTGGAATCGGAGCGTTGCAGTGTGTCAGCAAGCAGTCAGCAAACTTCACACTCAGACCGCACCGCCGGCAACACACGCACTGCGCCGTAGTGCCGCCTAAGCTCACCTCCCGACGTTCCTCGGCGCTCCGCCTCCAGTGCTGCGCTTTTTCCAGCAGAACGTCCAAAAATTTCTCCATCTAGAATCGCCTTTGCATTACGAAGACCTTTGGCCTCCACAGTGGGCCAGAAGACCGGTGGGGGCGGCCAAAATTCTAGTCGCATTTTGTGCTCCAGATTCGCTAAGCAGGACTCGAACCGAAGGTGTGACCCCACCAATGGATTCCTCGTTCGGAGAGCAATCCATTGGTGTGGTCACACGTTCGGTTCGAGTCCCATTGAGCGACTCTGGAGCTCAAAACGCGTCGCGAGTTTTAGCCGCCTCCACCGGTCTTCTGGCCCACTGTGAGATCCCTGGAGCCTGAAATGCGACGGCGGGGTTGACCTCTGCGACCGCACTGTCAGCCGACAAGCACAACGCCGCGAGCGTGAAGATCCACGTGGTGGAGAACCCCCAGATGATGGCGAGGAACACGAGGTTTCCGTTTCGAATCGCAACGGAAGTCTGCAAGAGAGACAGAAAGAGAGAGAGAGAGAGAGAGAGAGAGGGGGGGGGGCGCTAGGCAAACCACGATAACGCAGCGTCCGCGCGACGAACCTCGTACGCCATGAAGGAGGTGAAGAGGAGGGCCATGAGCATGTAGCAGAGGCAGGACAGCGGCATCACGAACAGACCCTCCAGGAGGGCGCGGAGGTCCAGCCAGGCGAGGCGGAACTGGCGGAGACGGGGGGCAGACATTCTGGCCAAACCAGCCACGCGCAGCTCCTGTGTAGCCACACGAGTAGACGAAGGCAAACATTGGTGCACCAGCCAGAAGGGTTGGTGTCGTGGGCCCTCCGGCCGCTTAGGTGGCAACGCTGACTCACGCTCTCCAGCTGGTCGCGGAGGTGGCGCGCGAAGTCGGCGACGCAGAGCAGCGGCCCCACGATGGCCGTCGTCAGGGTGTACACCTGCCCCATCTGGTACATGCCCACGGGGACGTGGGTCCAGTCGGTGTAGTCGGTGTTGGACAGCACCTGTGGCCGCGCCGTGCCTCCCAGTCTTGGGCCGAGAGGGGTGCCAACCCCAGCAACTTGTCGAGAGCATTGGTGTTGCTGAGTAGACGCGCTGAGGTTGGCAACCCTTTCGACACTGGTGCATAGTGAGAGAGTTGCCTTCTTTTGCGGCAACTCTGTTTCGAACCCGAGCCGACACTGACGTAGACCCAGAGGTGCACGATGAGCGGCGAGAAGATGAAGCAGCCGTTGAGGCAGTACTTGCCGGCCTCCAGCACGAGCTTGCTGCGGCCGGAAGGGCGCAGCACGAAGCCGAAGGACTCCTGGGGACAGGAACAGTGTCGCCACATGGCGGAAAGAACGCCGACGACGCCCCCGACGACGCCCCCAGCGACCCACCGTCAGAGGCTCGACCAGGCCGCGAAGCTGCTCCAGGTGCCTGGCCTCCGCCAGCATGCACAGCATGTTGGCGAGGTAGCAGAGCGCGCACACGATGCTGAGCGCGGCGATGTAGCGCTCCGACAGTGTGTCCGGGCCGGCGGCCACCTCGGCCAGGTGTGTGAGCCGCCGCGCTGTCTGGGAGAAGCAGGGCAACGGTGCGCAGTGGATTTGCCAGGAGACTAGGCGGCCTAAACTCCGGACGCGTTTTGAGCTCCAGAGTCGCTAAATGGGACTCGAACCGGACGTGTGGCCCCACCAATGGATTCCTCGTTCGGAGAGCAATCCATTGGTGGGGTCACACGTTCGGTTCGAGTCCCATTTAGCGACTCTGGAGGCCAAAACGCCCAGGGAGGCGCGGACGCACCAGCCTGTACGTGGACCAGAGGTTCAGGCCGATGGAGGCGCCGACCAGCAGCAGCGTGGAGCGCAGCGGGTGGAAGCACACCCTGAGCCTCGACGCCCAGCGCATCAGCGGGCTGAGCGGCACGCAGCCCTGCCAACGACAGCGACAAGACAGAGCGTTTCAACTTTAAAAGCCGAAAGTCCCCGCCCCGGTGGGGTGGCTCGCCGCGCGACTCTCGACTGGACTGACCAAGGCCTTCTTGTTGTCGAAGCAGGACACGACCTGGCCCCGGGGACTGGGCGGCGGCGAGGACCGTCCTGAAAGTTCGCCAGTCGGAATGGAAACAGCGGGGCAAATTGAGTTGATTCAGTTGGCGCGCAAAGTCCCCCACCCTTACTGCTCCACGCCGTCCACGTGACCGGGACCTGGAGGTACACGGCCGCCCCCAGCGCGATGGGCTGCAGCCCGTCGAAGAAGGGCACCCGCTTGTCGTCCGTCGGGGGCGTGTGGGTGCGGAGGTCCGGCACCGAGAACTGCAGCACCAGCCATCAGCAACAACAGCAGCAACGACAACGAATAGAGGGAAGGGAAGTACCGTCTGGAGAGTCGCCACGGAGGAGTAGCGCTGTCGCAGGGGGGACCCCATCGGGGCGGGCGCCACCTCGGAGCCCCTGGAGGTCGCCGACGACCCGGTCCCAGTGGAGATGGCCATGGCACTGCACTGCCAAGCCACGCCGTCAACTATAAAGCAGTGAACACTGAACACGGGCATTACAGGTGGGCCGGACGAAACGCTAAACGCAGGGGGCCATAAGAGAGGGCCACCCCACCAGCTTTGTCGGTGGGTGCTGTGCGTGTGTGTATGTGGGGTGGGGGGTGCTCGCAGTGCACAGTGCATTTATGACTTGAGCCCCGAACGCAGCCCAGTGCTTTGAGTCCGTTCCGCCATTTGCGTTTTTATTCTCCCTCTTCTGCTTAACTCTTGTGAGTTTCAAGCGGTGGTAAAACATTTTTTCCACTCGCGGCGGGGGAGGGGCGGGGGAAGGGGGATGCCTGGATGCCCAGTCGCCAACAATGGTCCTCAGTGCACCGCGGGCACCGCCCCTCCTTCCCCTGCCCCTTCCACCCCCGGCCACAACCCGAGGCAAATTCCCCGTGCCAGTGCCATACCACTCCATCGCGGCAACACTCCGCCATCCCGGTCGAGATGTGGTCCTACGGCGGCCGGCATGCCTGCAGGAAGCCAGGTGAGCGGGGAGGCGGCGGACCGCGGCAGAGTCGCGGGTCTGCAACCGGAAGACGAAGAAGGGACGGCGGTTCCGCATTGTAGGAGTAGGAAGGGAGCCGGCTTTGTGCACTCTGTGCGCGGCCAAGAGGCCAAGCGAGTCGGCGGCTGGAGCGCCGTGCTGGGTAGGCAACCCCCAGCTCTCGTGCGCAGCCGTGCTCAGGCGTTCCAGCCGAGGTGCCGGCAGGGTGCGGGAGGGTCTCTAGCTGCGGTCGACGTCTGGCAAAGCCAGGCAAAGCCCAGATTGCCGCGCGGGCAGGGCAGGCTTAGCGCCACTGGTGTGGCGGAAGTGTTTGCCTGCCTGCGGCGACACTGAGCGCGCTGCTTGGGCTGCTTTTGCCGCTGCCCGACCAGACGGCAACCCGGTGACCGGGGAGGGCTACGACGAGCCGCCAGAGCCTCGGCCGTTCCGGAAGCGCCGCGTCACCCCGAACACGGACATCCTCATCCCCGCGGCCCTGGCCTCCAGGGCGTTGCCGTACCTCGCCAACCTCCACATCCCCCCCGTGCCGTCCGTGCCGTCGCCAGCCGCGGCCCCGGGCGACCCAGGCGAGGCTCCTTGCTCGACGGCCGCAACGAGGGTCCCCGGGAAGTGCTCTGACCCTCGCCCTTCCCAGACAGGCTTCGTCGGCGACGAGCCCTCCTGGCGCGGCCCGGAGGCGCAGCTCGAGGACGTGGTGCCCGCGGCGCCGAGGCCGAGCGAGGACCGGCCGGACCAGCGGGCACTCGGGGACGTCCCGGAGGGCATCCCGGAGGACGTCCGCCCGCGAAGCCCGCCTCGCAGCACCCCGGCGCTGCGGGGCGCCGGCGAGGACGACGTCAACGCCGCCGTCTCCCAGAAGGCCCCGAAGGGCCACGCCGAGCCCCCGCGCCCCGAGGACCGGCCCGCCGCCGGCGTGTGCTCGGCCGACGCGCACCAGCAGCTCTCCCAGACGTGGTTCCCGTCGACGTCGAGGACGGCGTCGAGGTCGCTGGCGGCGAGGACGCCTCCTGGAGGACACTCTGCTGGGCTGTGGTAGCGCAGCGCCACTCTACCGTTAGCTAACATTCCGCGTTTCTTTGTTGTTATTGTTTGTAAAATCTTGTTTCAAATCGTGGCGCATTGTTGTACCTGGGAGCGTCAAGTGTAGTAGAGTCAGCAGCATAGCGAGGAAGGGGCGTTTTAATTAGTAAGGCACAAATAAGTTAACACATTTTATTTTTTACTTCTCCCAGCTATACAGAACAAATGTACACTATCAGAAGCAGTGGAGCGCAGCGGCTGCGGCCGGCCTTTGTAGTAAAATACCACTCCTACCACTCCTCACATTAATCACCAACAAAAATAAAAATACTTCCTTCATATTTAAAACTATTTATATGATCGTTTCTTCACTCACACACAACATGCTCAATTGCTAGTTTCACTATTTTGTTTCACTTACAATTTAATTTCTAAATTGTTATCAGCAGTACACATTATGAACCTTCCGGTCCCCAAAAATTTAGTTATTGTTGATCAAGAAAATTTTCTTCAAAAATCATCTGTTTTTTTTTTTTTTTGGAGAAACTTGGGATCAATTCAACAGGGTTGGTAAGGAACTGACTTAAGGAGAATTTTAAGTTGCACAAATGGTAATTGAAAAGCAGCTTAAGCTGAAAAGAGCTATAGCTACCAAACTGAGCTGAGGGAACATGTACTTACAAGTTTGATATAGGTTTATTAGATATTGCACCATAACACATTGACACCAGATTTCAACATCCAGACTTAACCCATCTTATCTGCCAATTGAAAGGAACATGTGTGTAACAATGATCAATCTATGGTCATTTACAAATGTGCCACCAATGAGTTCCAATTGATAACAATCACATAATTCTAAAATCTGTTTACACTCTAGAGCAAAATTAGATATTACTCATATCTAGACATTGCCTTGCTTAGTCGTAGAAACAATTTATGAGGAATTGACCCAACATCCGATCAAGAGTTTAGACCCAGCGATCAAGTTTTATAGATTTGTAGAAAAAATATTGTCTGGTCATAAGTTTTCCGTCATGTGTGAATTTTAAATGGGACTGGAAGCACTCCTGCAAAAACTTCAATGTTACAGGCAGTCAAGCAGCTATTTTGTTTTGGTGCTCCGCCTTCGAATGCACATTAAAGTACAAGGGTGCACACATGTCGACACATGTCCAAATCCACTAAGGCACTAAAACCAAACGGCAGGTAAAGGCCCACTACCATAACCCTAGTCACTGCCAGCGGAGAACAAGTGACCCAACAACCTGGTAATTAAATATCTCCATGGTCCCTCAAAACAAAATCTGAACGAAACAGAAAACACATCAACATGCCCCAAAGCAATTCTTATCATTCATAAGATGCAACACTAATTTTTTATTCATATTTCTTTGTTTTATGCCAATAAAACTAATAAAATTTTAACAGTGTATGAAAGGTTTACATGATTGCGCTTCCAAGTTTGGTTTCAGAAACTTTGTTAATAGAAAATTCATGACCATAGATTTCCCCAAAAGTCAGCAATAACAGACCACACAGAAGACAGGGTCTGCTTTAACGACGAATGCTAACTATGAGTGTAACAAATTTCTACTCAAATTAAGTACATGGGTTTTTATTTCTGTCAATCTGAAGTGCAACTTAGCAGAATTTCATTGATCAAACAAGATATGGTACACGTCTCATAAATCCCATAGATATCTTTTTCACTTTCAAATACTACTAGTCACTTTGAAAAAAAAAAAAAAACGGAAGAAAAATGAAAAGAAGTGAGAAAAAGTACATTTCTAGGAATAAACAGAAACAACAACACAATTAAAAACAAATCCCCACAATGCTAACACTTTACCTAATGACAAATGAAGTATCAAGTACACTTGGAAAAGAAGAGTAAACAAAGTTGTAAAATACTACAAAAGCGAAAGATACACTATGACTTAGATCCTCCAGCGGCAACAGACTTAACCCTTTACTGCACTAACGATTTCAATCAAAATATTGACTTTTTGCTTTTCTCAAAAATAATTTGCATTAACATATTACAGAGATGACGATGTTAATTTAACCAGGATTATTCCTCAGGTTCAGGAGCAGTGAAGGAGAAGCTCCCATTTCTGTATCAAAACTATGATTAGCATAATAGGTTTCGCTTACCACAATGAATGAAATAATTTTCCTATTGTTTGGTTCGCACTGCATTAAAGGGTCACAATTCTGCTCCATTATTCTCCAAACATAATTACATAACTAAGAGCCTTCTAATAGGCATAGAAATCCACAGCCTGTAACACGTGCAACAGTGTATGTAGCCTAAATTAATGTTAAACTTAACTTCCTTCCATAAATTCATTGAGAGCAATTCAATCTTAGTGCTGTACAACCAGGATGCTAGAAAGGATCTACATAACCTCAAGCTAATCACATCTCACTTCCATACAAACCAACAGTTCGGAGTTTGAGGAGCAAGCACCCACAACATATACAACAGAATGGCTCAGTGTGTTCACGATTTATGCTTTTTGCTATAATACTGGAGTCCTTATGATACTTGAAATTTTATAGTTGTCAGAAAACAGTTCAAAAAGCTCAATACCAAATTGAAAACATGCCACTTTAACTTGAGACATTAAAAACACGCCATACAAAAACAATTTGTTCAACGAAATTCTTCCAAGAAAAGATAGGAGTTAATGCTCAAACTATTGCAGAAAGCATAAATTGTATACAGGTTTGGAGCACGATTAACAACTTCATCATCATTTAATTCACTTTGCACACAGCTACAAAAACCAAATGAAAAGTTAGGGCAGTGAAATAATGATAATCCACATGAAGCAAAACGTTTATAATGGAGGGAAATAGAAAACATGAAATATGATCAAGGAACTACTTAGGTCACCACCCTAGAAAATAGCTCATTAAATAAAAACAAGAGAAAACAATTGTAAACATCAACAAACGGAACCGAATGAAACGGTCCTTTGGAATTATTTTAACAACCACGAATCACAATACAAATCAGTCTCGCTAGAAGTCGGCTATTACAATGCTTTTGAAAAGAAATAGAGGAAAAGGTTTCGAACTTTGCTGGCATATAAATGTGCAAGCCTTGAACTTCGCATTTCCTAACAGCTGCACATTAAAATGCAAAGTAAGAGTTGCAGAAAGATGGACTATTGATAAAATGCAAATCAAATATCATTGAGGTAAGGTATGGGATAAAAGAAATTACGTAAGTTCTAGTTATTTCCCTGAAAGGAGTTGGTAAGGTTCCACCACCAGCGCCAAAGAAGAAAATACGTACAAGACAGTACACTACATTACCAAATAAAGATCTGCATATTCATGAAGTATTTCAATGAGAATGTTATGCAGAATTACTTGACACTATTTAAAAATTTTGAACTACAACAGTTAGTTTTTTTTTGTTAGTATAAGTAACACACGTTAAGGGTGAAACAAACAGGCTGAAATATTTAAGAATCTTAGTAGTTTTATCAAAGTGCGCTGCTCTTTAAATAGTTTTATGCAATATTAGATTCTAAAAGAATGGGCATCAGCTATTCTGCTTATGGTAAACATCATTAACCCTAAGATAACCCACTTTCAGAGTCATGAAATTTAAGAGAAATTGAGAAACTGCATTAATTTTTGGTAGAACTCACAAAAATTCTTCACAGTAAACAGGTTTATATTTGGTTTAAGAGTTACAGAGAAACCTGCTTCTAAAAACAGTACACAACCACACCTGAAGACATTGAAGTACCACTTCACAAAATTGTGTTCCAGAACAGTTTGAAAAGTGATTTTGCTCCATGATGAGCAGGTGAAATGTTAAGTTAGTAACTGTCTAAAACTGATAACACAGTAATTGACACAGGGTGCATTGTTTATGATAGAAGCAATGTCATGATAAAATGAATACAGTATGTATGTTGTGGTAAGAAAAGCATGTGCCAAAGTCTTAGTCAAGCATGGCTATACTGTACCATGACCGCAACCCACAAGGAACAGGCCTAACTTTTGTTTTTGCAATGGTAACTCAACTCAAACACTACACAATAGCAGGAAGAAGAAAGTCTGATACTAATAATCCAATGCTCTGGTGCATTTACGTGCGAAAGAAGTGTAACTTAAACATTTCTTTAAACATTAAAGCCAATGACAATTATCACAAATCTCACCTTCCCATCACCTGAAACTAATTCACCCCAAAGACACGCATATTGTTCACAATCCTACACATGAATGTAACGCATACATATGCACAAGTGTTCAGCTCAAGTGACATGCATAAAATAAATACAAACACGTCTTGATTTTCCTAATTTCTGAATCACCTTCTTGAAGTTAGATCTTGTTCACGACTCTTAAGCAGAGACTCCATTGATGGTGACAAATGGAAAACCAGGATTGTTTACTTAGATTGTTCAAATCCAAAACATGCCTCCAACATCACCTCACTTCAGCAGACATTTGTCTATGCATTGGCCTTACTACACTAAAATTGTTTTGGCTCCAAATGTTGACACTGAAGACATTAAAATGGTTTAAAATAATAGAAACAGAGAATAGTACAAGCTTTGTTCAGAGTAGTCGATTTATCACCAGTAGAGGAACCTTAAAATTATAATTTAACAATAAAAAAAAGAAGAGAAAAAGAGAAAAGAAAAACAGTTTAAAAATGCTGGAGGATGAATTCTCTTGTGACTTGTGTAACAACTCGTACATCTTACCAGAAAAAGCATCACCCCAGACTGTATAAAAACACATACAAAACACCTCATGACATTTTAAAAACTGGGGAACAGTAAGCCTGGCAACTTCAATAAGGAAACATTAGATTTATAATACCACAGAGTTTATAAAGCATTACGTGGCTAACATCACATTGATTTGTGTTGTTAAACTCCAAGTAAAATAGACAGATGATGAAAATGGTCACAGGCCACTCAGTTCGTTTGTGGAAGTTGCATCACTATTATCACTGGCTTGGCTAAATAAGAGCATTTTATACACAAAGGCATGGATGCACTTTTGTTCTACAATATAAACAACTCATTTAAAAAGTGATAGGTCTTGCACTGCACCGGTGATTCCATGTTGGCCATTGCCACAGCATTTGAGGAAAATAATTTAAATGCTAAGCTCACAAGACAATACAACCAACTTCTTTTTCAAACAGGAAAATAAAAGATTGACCACTCACATATACTATTTACGTAATCCAACAATAACTTCACAGTTCATAAATTACACTAGGAAACTTAAGCTACATAAAATAAAACAAATTCAGCTTTTCTTTTAGTGTAGTAGTGAAAGGGAACAGAAGTGCTTGGAGACATTTCAATTTGCCTTCAATCACATAAATCACATTTCCTCAGAGAACTTGAGGATTATCAGGGAGATCTACCAGCTGACACTGCTCAAGAAACAAAACGAAACAAAATTCAAAAATTCTGAATCTTGCGTCAAGATTATTATTTTCCTTTTTGCTTTACAAGTCAAAGAATGTCAACAAAATAAAATAAATAAATCACAATTTTGGTACAGGCAACACAAAATTCGAGGACTACATAGCAGGCTAGGTAGGAATAGCTGAGAGCCATTCTTGGTCAAAACTAGAAAAGGAAACAAAAGTTGCAGTAAACAATATGGATATGACATATTCACAGCATTGCTTGGAAGTAGGGATTAGACTAACTGTGAAAGAAGCACTTATAAACAGTAAACAGCCTACAAGAGTACGCAACAGCCATGTCACAGTCAATTAGTTCAACACAAACCATTAATTCAAAAGTAAGTCTGAACATCTCTGAACATCTTTCCATTTGAGTGTTTTAAACACAAGAGTCAAATGAGGAAAAAAATAATGAAAGCAAATGGTGAAATGTTCCCCTAAAAAAGCAATAACAAGAGAACATCAACTCATCTCAACCAAACTGGACTTGGTGTCTGATCTGCACTTGCATCAATCCAAAAATTTTCATAAAAATCTTGCAGTTTATCTGAGTGAGTTGGTGTCCCAATCTCTTCTGAGGTTGTGGTTACTAATGAAACCAATTAATTGAAAACAATAAAAGACTTCCCGCCTGGGAGGGTGTCCCTTTCGACATTCTTATAAAAATGTTTGATGGGTGATTAAACAGTGACTGTTTTTGATTAGTACAAAGAAATAAGAGAACCACATCCTCAGAGGAGAAACAGAACTACAAACTAAAATATTCATACAATAACAACATGATGAGGTACCGGTACCGTTTAGTCAGACTAGTGAGACACCCCCGCTACGGTTTCTTGTCTGCCCATTAGTGGTTCATTTAAAAGCGGCACTTCACACTGCAAATAACTGTCCTCACATCTACTTGAGCGACGCTGCACAGATGTTGAAGGTAAACCTGTAGAACCTGATGATTGAGACGATGATGATGAGGCTGTCGTGGTATTAGCTGCTTCACAGCTTTCGGTAGTAGTTGCCGTTTGTTGGGCAGAACCCACAGCAGCAGACGAGCTACCAGTACTCCCTGTATTTCCGGTTCCCCCAGTGGTTGAGGAGGTTTCAGTATGTGACACATCACCCTCTGGTTGTAACTTGAGAGCCACAACCAGATCATGAAGGATCTCTGTTTCCTTGGAATCAATTAGGCAGAAACGAGCATTAAATAGAGTAAGATGTGCAAACACGCAGTTGAGATGTGCATGGAGGTTCAGCAGCACCACCTCCCGAAAGTGGCAGTGGTAAAGGTGAGCCAATACATGGAATAGAAGCCGCAATATTTTCCTGACAATTGATTCAAATGAACTAGGAAAATCATTGGCTGCAACAAAAGGAAAGGAAAAATGAGGAAACGCTGAAATATGTTTAGTGGAATAGTTAAAAGGTCAGGAATTGGAGTATGCATAGCTACACTTACCATACTTAGTTGGAAATATACTTTCATCACTGATAGTTTTTTGGGTAAATGTCATCACATAGTCAATATACTGGGGAGCAGCGACACGGGTTTTCTTGCCTTTTTCATCAAACCATAGGTATGTTCTGAAAATAAAACAACAAGAAATGTTAATTGCGAACCAATTCTACCCAAGCACAATTATAAAAGCAGTTATCATCTGTTTCAACAGAAAAACTGACCTGAGGCCGGGTCCTGTCATCTCAGGACATCCCGACATCGTGCAAAACTCTGATATTGTGCCATATATTAAGTTTATATGGTCAAAAAACGCTAAAGCTGGAAAACAAAATGAAAAATGTTACACATTGAAATGGGTGAAACCCACAGTACATGAGGAATCAGAAAGGCATTAATAAGACATACTATGAGATGCTAGCCACTCGTTGTAATCTAGACCGGGAGGGAGTTCCAGTAATACTTGTAAGTCGATGTCAGGACACTTTCGTTCTAGAAGCCCCTCCTCCAAGTATAGTTTCGGGTCGTCTGAACACAATGATGATAGCTCCCGGTCTTTCCGTCTCGCCTTCCTGTCAACAAACCAAACAAAAAAAAAAAACGTGTTAGCATATACCGACTCCAACTCATCAGAGAACTTTGGGTCCACAGTTTTGACAGCTTGGCGCTAAACCTAACAACATGGCTCCACATTCAACAGGTCATCAACAAAGCCAACACTCCCACGGCAACATGAAAATTTGACGCATTTCGGGTGCGTGAATTCACCAGTGGCGGGAGAGTCTGTGCATCCGATTGAACATGGCGTGGCGTGGACTGGCGTGGACTTGGCCCACGGGACTACAGTGATGGGGCGAGCCCCCGAGGCCTCCGAGCCCCGTCTCGGCCTGGGCTCTGCACCCCTTCCCCCTCCTCCCCCTGACCGCCCCTTATCACTGGCCGGCATTAGGCCAGCTACTGACCAACACAGCAAGTCAAACCGAGACGGACCACGACGCGAACTCGTTGCCCAGCCCGCAACCAGGGCTACCAGGGCTGTCGAAGCGACGACCTAACCTAACCTAACCACTGCCCTGCGCTCTACACGCATCAAATTTCATTTTCCCACCGGCCCTTCCACATGGAATAAAGGTCAATCAATTTCCCCCCGTCTCGCCATCCTTTTCTTTACCAAAACAGAAAAAGAAGACAAAATATGCTGCGTCATTATCTCACTGACACCATGCATCTTACAATCTCCACTCGCATCTGCAGAGCACGCGTCTTAAAAAAACTACCACAGCTTAATAAACATTGCAAAGCGACTCGCGGGATGCGCTTCCATCTTCATTCTGCGAATGCCCCCAAAAAAACTGACCTTATCTGGATCTGGGTCGTTAAAAGTATCGAGAGGAGAAAAAGTACTGAGTGGACGACAAAACCCACACCCAGGTTCGGAAGGGCGACCATCCTTCAGCAGTGCCTCCCGGGCCGCCCCTGTGACCCTGTCGTTCGGAAACAAGGCCGGAAATGGAAACTGAAATGAGGTTCGGGCGGTGGAAAGGGGGGGGGGGCGGGGGTAAATGCGCGGCCCTGCGCACCTGCACGCCCCCGAGTCAAATGGGGACTCATCCCGAAGCGCTTTCGTCACCGTGTTTGGGTGCGAGAGAGAGAGAGAGGGTGAGAGAGAGAGAGAGAGAGAGAGAGAGAGAGAGAGAGAGAGAGAGAGAGAGAGAGAGAGAGAGAGAGAGAGAGAGAGAGAGAGAGAGAGAGAGAGAGAGAGGGGAGAGAGACGAAACTAGACGAAACGACTCTTCAGAATCAGTGAGGATCGGACCGCCCTCCGCGCGGCGGCGCCGGCAGCCAATAAGACGAGCAGAAAGCGCCCTCCCGCATAAAAAGAAACGAAGTTGACCAAAAGAAAGAGATTCAAGTGAAAAAACCTTCAGATTCAATATTTGCTGATTCAATTATAGGAAGGGGACGTGGCCAACGTTGCGCCGACAGTGCACTGACAGTGCACTGCAGGGCATGCGAGTGCGAGAGAGACAGACGGCCGGCACCGTGTTCAAACAAATGTGACTCAATCGGCATCGTAACGAATGTGACTCCGTGCACGAGTTAGGTATAACGCGCAGCGCACAGCCTCCCAGTGGTGTTGCGTTTTTGCGGTCCTGAGGGGTGGCGTCGGAGGGGGCGGAACCAGGCGGTTAGAGGGGGTGGATCAGGGGGCGATCCCGCCCGGCCGGGGCTAGCAGCGTGCTAGCAGGGCCGCCAGGGCCGGCGCCACCCCACGGCGTCTAGCGCGTCTAGCGTCTAGCGCGTCTACTCTGGCAGGGCGGAACAGGCGAACCGGTTGCGAGCGGTGCTGCCGAGCCGAGCCGAGCGCGCCGCCCGGCCGAGCCGAGCCGAGCGGGCTGGGCCCGAGCCTTTGCCCGAACCGGGCGCGAACCCCGCGCCAGGCCCTCGCATGGAGGCACTAGTCATCTCGTTGCGGCAGAGTGACGAAGGGACTGCAGCTCGCCCTCCAGTCCAGCCCCTGCAGTGCAGGCCCACGTCGCACGGGACCCTCTGGCGGCCCCCTAGCCAGCTAGAAGAGTCTGTCTCTGTCGCGCTCATGAGGCTCTCCATAAGGGTGCGAGAGAGACGGGGCGCTCGTCCGGATCGCTCGACGGACCCCGAGGGGGACCAAACAATTGCAGGGAAGCCGAGGGAAGCCTGCAGTTCGGGAACACGGCCCAGCCGAGCCGGGCCAGCCTCCGAAAAGTCGTGTCTGACTGCGGAGAGCTCTAGAGTCGCTAAATGGGACTCGAACCGAACGTGTGACCCCACCAATGGATTGCTCTCCGAACGAGGAATCCATTGGGGGGGTCACACGTTCGGTTCGAGTGCCATTTAGCGACCCTGGAGCTCAAAACGCGCCTAGAGCTTCCCACCGGCGCCATCGCCCCTTCTCCGCCACTCCAAATCGAAAATCGACCCGCGAGGCCCACGCCTTGCCTTCGACGGCCCCAAACTTCGCCGGCGGCGCGTTCAAAGTTTGGCATGAAAAATTAAAACGCCGCCTGCTGGCCGGTTCCGTGTAAACTCGCTCAATCACTGTCCGGGGCGCGGCGGGGCGCGGCGGGGCACGACCGCCGCGGTGGGGCCCCATCCCATATTGGAAGGGCACGCCCAAATGGGTCATACCGTCCCACAAACCTCGCCAGCTTCCCACTTTTCCGACGAGAAAGGGAAAATTCCACGCAGAGCAAACCATTTTTCCCAGTGGAATAAATTATACAGGCACAAGCAAACGGAGAAACTCGTTTGAGGACTCATTGCGCAGACGAGCCTGCCGTGTATAATTGGTGGTGATCGCACCAAGGCGCCGGCCGAGGCGCGGCGAGAAAATGACGCACAACACTGTATCTCGCGTCGCAGCTCCGCACAGTTACAGGAAGTGCCTTCACTACTGTACCGCCCAATGCGCCATCCGGCCGCCGCGGGACATCCCGCCAGAAGACCGGTGGAGGCGGCCAAAACTCTAGACGCGTTTTGGGCTCCAGAGTCGCTGAATGGGACTCGAACCGAACGTGTGACCCCACCAATGGATTGCTCTCCGAACGAGGAATCCATTGGTGGGGTCACACGTTCGGTTCGAGTCCCATTCAGCGACTCTGGAGCTCAAAACGCGTCTTGAGTTTTGGCCGCGGCTGCGCTGCCGCCATGCGTCCTTGCGGCGGCCGGCTCGGCGGCTTGTGCGGGTGGCCGACCTCGCTCGGAGTATCTCGCGCGGAAGGCAGATAAGGAAGATAGGCCTGCGCGATGACTCACACGCACCACGGCCAGCCCAACTTGATCGTTTTTGAACCGCCCCAAACTGCGCCCAAGTGCAGCCAAGCTGCAGCCTCAAAGGCAATCCAAGCGTCCATCAATTCGTTTCAGTTGCAGTCGCAGCGCGCTCAAGTGTAAACGGGCAAGATATGAACGTCAGTCCGCCGGACGGTTGGCCAGGTGCATCATAGAACACGTGCAAGTGCTGCGGGCGGGGCGGGGCGGCTCCATCCGGTACAGCCATAAGCTGCGCTGCACAGGGCCCCAGCGACCGGTGGGGGCGGTCAAAACCGACGCGTTTTGAGCCCCAGAGTCGCTAAACGGGACTCGAACCGAACGTGTGACCCCACCAATGGACTGCTCTCCGAACGAGGAATCCATTGGTGGGGTCACACGTTCGGTTCGAGGTCCGTTTAGCGACTCTGGAGCTCAAAACGCGTCTGGCGTTTCGGCCGCCGCCACCGGTCTCCTGGCAAATCCACTGTAAAAAGCAGCCGGGCAGGGCGGGCACGAAGGGCAGCTCAGCAAGCCGCTTTGTGTCGGACACGGCGACTCGGTCGCAATGACGTCATCGGCCGCCCTTTGCTAGGGCTTCATGCAGGCCATGATGCACCAGCCCTCTGCCTCCGCCCTGCCATAAAGCGCGCTGTCTCCGTCGCCTCGTGGGGGCGCGAGAGAGACAGAGCGCGCGGCTCGGCAGGTGGGGGAAGGGAGAGGCCCCAGCGATTATTCGGCCCGCGCTGCGATCATTAGCTCCGTCACCCAATACGTTGGTGGGTAGATCCTTTACAACCCCCTGCCCTGCGCCTACCCTCTTTCTCCTCGCCGGCCGGCCGGGCAGAGACGCGGACAGGCAGACAGACAGAACCGGAACAGGACCAACCAACCAACCACCCCCGAAAAAAAAACAAGGGGGGATTAAAGGCCGGCCACAGAATGCAAACCATCCCAGCGATAAAAAAAAATTCCGCGTCGTTTCCTTTATCCGCAGATTCCACAGAAAAAAAATGAAAAAACTTAACAAGACACGACGATATTTCTCCCCCAGCGCGGAGTTCTGACTCGTGTTATACACCCCCGTGCCGGGCCGCCCCCTCCCCCCCACCCCATGGCCTACGCCACTCCGGCCAACAAATGGCACCTCTTTCCGACAAGCAGGCGAAAGGGAGAGAGAGAGGGGGGGGGGGCACTGTAAAGGCCCTCCCACAAGGGCGGAGGGAAGAGGCAAGGAAAAAGCGGAGACAAGCGACGCGAAAAGTGATACTACAACGGCGGCGCACCAAGTTTTAAGCAGTCCAGGTTGAGGGCGGCCGGAAAGAATGGGGGTGAGTCACACTGTAAGGGGGTGGGGCGGAAGGGGGATGGGGGCGGGCTGGGACCGCCCTTGACCTCGGCATGGAAAGCGCAGTGGAGTGGAGTGGGGGGGGGGGGGGGGGGGTCCACGGGAAAGGCCAGTAAAACTCAAACCGGCCCCTTTATGCCGGAGCGTAACTGAAACCGCCCCGCGGGACCCATCGCGTACTCTCCGTCACGTCTGCTCAATAAAACAAAAACCTCAGTTTCGCCAACCCCGAGCGACAGCATTTAGACGCGTTTTGAGCTCCAGAGTCGCTAAGTGGGACTCGAACCGAGCGTGTGACCCCACCAATGGACTGCTCTCCGAACGAGGAATCCATTGGTGGGGTCACACGTTCGGTTCGAGTCCCATTTAGCGACTCTGCAGCTCAAAACGCGTCCGGGATTTTGACCGCCTGCGCCGGTCTTCCGGCCCACTGTGCAGCAGGCCGATATGACAATTTGACGGTGACGCGTCTCGTCTGGCGGCGGCCAGGCCGGACATGGCGTTCACACCGCCCCGGACGATATTGAGGGGTGGGGTGGCCCAAGGCTGGGCGTCCAGGGGGAGGGGGTGCATGCAGGGGATGAGCCCGACGCGGCTCGACGCGCCCAGCCGGCGCCACCGGGATCCTTTGACTCCCCCCCCCCCAATTCAATCCAGATAGCCGCGCCACCACCGCCGCGGCCAATCACAACGACGCGCCCCCACTTTAAAACTGTCTCGTCCGAAATTCGCGACGCGAGGAGGCCAAGAACAACAAGCGCCTCACAGTCGTGATGAGGTCGGCCAGGCTGTGGCGCCCCGTCTCTCTCGCACTCGAGGGAAGTCCCGTGCTGCGGTGCGAGCGAGGCAGCGCGAACCCCCCCAAGGACCAGCATCCCCTGAAATCCCCGAGGACGGCCGCAGCCGCGCGGCCCCGTGCTTTGCATACAGACAAACCGTTGGGGGGGGGGGGGGGGGGGCACGCCTCCGGCCAAGGCAGCCAACCAAAAGGCGCCGCGGGAAAAAAAGCAGCCGTGGGAAAGGCCCGCAAACCGGGCCGGGTTCGAACCCCGGACCGTCCGCACTCAATGAGCCAACACAAGTCCTTGCCCCAGTCCTCGCCGGCCCCTTGTGCTGCATGCCTGGTCGATAGAGCCGCATTTGGGCTGCTACCATGCTGCTACACTGTCTGCAGCTCGTCGTCGCGCTGTCTCTCTCGCACGCGGGGTGTCGCCAGCCGACCAGGGCACTGCTCGGAGTCAAACTGCGCCGAGGTGCTGAAAGCCATCCCCGGATGAATGCCATCTTCGCCTGCGACGCAAGCTGGACTCGGCACTGGAGGAAGGCCCCGTGCCTAAACGCCCAATTTTCCTGTTGGGGCCGCCGCACCACTGAGAGTAAAACACCGCGACAGCCAAACACAAACACACATGGCCATTCGAGCTCGTGTGTGTGAGAGAGAGCATGCATGTGTGCTGTATCTGTCGCATAGGCAAACACACAGCTCGCGAGAGAGAGAGAGCCTCTTTATCGTACGGGTAGCTTGGCAAGCCTGGCGCATTTTAACGCGCGCGTTCAAACGTTCCGACGCGCCAGCCAAACGGTTCGGCCGAGTCGATATCTCGAGTCGCGAGTGAATCGGACGTCCAGACTCGCCGAGTCTTATCGCGCACAGTCACGTCCTTCAAGAAGGAAAAAAAAAAGAAAATAAAAACAGAACAAAACCAAATGAAGGCGAAAAAAAAAAACAACATCCCACAAGGCGGAGAAAGAGTTGTCCGTCTTAATTAATGAAAGCCAAACAAGCGGATGGCTGAAACGGCGCGGTCAGTCTGTCCCTCAGCCAGTCTGGCCCACTGTGCAGTGCCACCCCACAATTGGCTGGAAAGGTGGAGGGGGGGGGGCGGAGGGAGCGAACAGTGGCAGCTGGCGGCGGCGCCAAGACGGCCCGGAGTAAGCAGATAGCAGTGGCGCGGCACGGCACGTGCCACTTTTAGAGTGTGTGAGCAAACGCAAAATTTAGGAAAAAAAAAGAACCGTGCGAAAAAGTGGAAATAAAAAGCTCACTCAACAAAGCTGACCGAGATCGTATCATTTAAATCCCGCGAGTCCGTTCAATTAATTTTTAAAAACAAGACACTTTTTTCTTTTTTATGCCCAGCCGACGCCGCTTGCTCTTCCAGGAAGCCCTCCTTTTCCAGTCGGCTAGACACACCGCGGGGCAGTTAGGCCCTTGGTCGATACGCCGTCGGGGCGGCCAGGCCGGGCCGGCCAGCCAGTCCCACCTAACCGCTGCAGCTTCGATCAACCTCTCGCAAGTGCGGCGCCAAGTCAGGCAAGACGGACAGACAGACGGATGGACAGACAGACAGCTAGACAGACAGACAGAAGGAAAGACAGGCAGACGGACAGACAGACAGCTAGACAGACAGCTAGACAAAGAGACAGCTAGACAGACAGCTAGACAGACAGACAGACAGAAGGAAAGCTAGACAGACAGACAGAAGGAAAGACGGACAGACAGGCAGAGACAGCTAGACAGACAGAACGAAAGACAGGCAGGCGGGCCGTGGAGGGCCGTGCCAAAACGGATGGGAGCAAAAGTTCTAATTCAGGTCCGTCATGGCGATGCCTGACGATGCCTGGCGGTGCCATTGGCGGTGCCACCAGTCCGCCCCGCCACGCGACCAGAGTACTCCTACGTCAGGCCGCCCATTCATGAGGCCGAGGCCGACCTGCCCTAGGCGGCCCTAGTCGGGGTTCGAGTCCCAGTCGCCCCCAACGATGGGACCAAGTGGGGTACAATGTACTGCATGACCCCCCCCCCCTTTCTCCCATCAAAACAGATTAATTAGGTGCTTCATTAGAGACACCGATTTTTTTCTATCAAAAATGAGATAATGCTTACTACTTAGTTTGGTCGCACTGCTTGTCATCTAATGAAAACAAATCCCAGCTCCACTGTAAAAATTTACAGTGCACCAGCCCTTAGGGTGACACATTAGCTACCAATGGAAAGGCAAGCTGAATATAGACACCTAAGAGCAACGGAGAAGGAAAACACAGAGTTTCTCAAGAGGCAGAATGGGACGCAGTAGGGGAAGCTTCACTGATAATGCAATGTGTCTTATCAATTTGCTCATGGAAGTGAGTAATCAAAAGATGACACGTAAAACACAATAAAAGATGTTTTCTCTCCTGATGTGCCAAAACATTGAAACTTGCAGAAATACATTTTTTGTCTTATTGAGCTGAGTGCATAGCAAAAACATTTAAAAAAAAAACAAAAAAACATGTTTTGTCACTCTTCTAGAATTTTTTACTTTAAAAAAATCTGTTTACTGCTATTATTATAAAATATAGTGACAATAAGTTTGAACATGGAGGACACTAAGTATGAAGTTCTCCAATGACAAAGAAACCTATGACATAATTATTCAAAATTTCATCAGCATTAAAAAAAAGGTAAAAATTGCACAGGCAATTAAGCGCAAAAGAACTAAAATTAACTGTCAGTAGTGGAAAAGTGAGTGCCTTAAAATGCAGACTCTTCACATCACAGGTAAACAAAAATTGGTCCTCAGACACTTGGTAAGAGTCAGAATAAAACTGTGAATGGCTTCTAATTAGTTGATGGGATTGAAATCCATTATACTTTCTAGAAGGCAGCCAAGTATATGCTAAAAAATTATAACTAGCCCCTTATCTATTCCTATCAAAACCAGACAATAACCCCAATGATTGCACAAAGTTGCTACAATGTAGAGCACACACTCAGCCCAAGGCACACAAATGCCATTGTTCACAAAAAACAGAGGAGTTTTGAGGGCAAAGGAAATGTCACAAGGCAGACACTAATAGCCCAGGAAAATGTGAACAAGATACAATAGTGCACAACTCATACCCTCCTTCAAAAAGACCCATGATCAACTTTTACCCCATCAGTGGCCTTTCACCAGCTCCAAAACACAGGCCAACTCCAAGCACACGCACACCAGGGGCATGCAAGTGTTTTGGTGGGCACACACAATTCCAAATTACAGTGTCCATTTTTCTCATTAAAAATAGGCAATAAATCCGTCGTTATTTTGACAAGCTAAAATAGAGGCTCGAATGTAGCCCTTTGTGCTGTACTCACCCCATAAACCAGTCCACAGTGTCACGCAGGTACTCTGGTAGCCTATCCAGCTTGAATGATTTCTGGGAATATTCACCACGATGAAATGGTAATTTTAAATAAATACGGATCTGCTATTCACGCAATAACACAAAAAATCTGACATGGCGTCCCGTTTCTGAAAATATCTGTAGCACGGCCTTCTGGATGGTGGAAACACTTGCTCAAATCCCAGGACAAATATCTCACTGGAAATCCGCGCGATGGCGACAGCGACAACAACAAATAGGGGTTCTATTCCGCGGGGAGCGACGCAGATCACACGGTGTTACTTGTAAACAGAAGGACCCCCTGTGGTGTCCTCGCGACTCCGACTTGTCTTTGCCTAAAGAACGAAACGAACGTGCACTGCGCTCGATCCGACCCGACGCGAACGCGCTCCGAAAGCCCGTTGGTTGCGCAGTAAGGTTATGGTTACTGCTGCAACCTTACGCAGCACTGGCCGCCAGGGGGCAGCACGGTGCGCGCAGTCAGCTGATGTCCGAGAAGCCGCCAGATTCAAATTGTTGCTCTAGTTGTGACTCGAAGGCGACTCTGGTGCGTTCCGCCTCAGGGCACTTCTTGAAACGGATTGGATGCATCGAAAAATCTGATAGAACGGAGAACTGCATCGGCGTATCCGAGCGATTAGACGCGAAGCAGAAAGTGAAAGGTTCCTGCGACACGGGTACACCAACACAACGTAAGCATAGATTGATTTTCTGGAAGCCTTTATCGCATTGCATAAAACTTTTTTTAAAGATTAAAGAAAACATAAGGTGAAATTTAGAAACTGAAATTACAGCCAGTTTGATAGCGACAGTTCAGTTACGGCAGGTTCTTTTGCTTGTGTTTCAGAGGTTGGCTATTCTCTTCTGCTCCAACGACGCGACTGCCGAAAAATGGATCCGTATGTTTTGATTCGTGGATTGAAGTTTCCGAGGGATTATTCCCCTTCAAAAATCTCCGTAAGTAAGCTGTCGCGCTTCAGAATTCCTTTTTTTTTCTTTTTTTTTTAAGAATAATTCGATGCGGACTGTATCGTAGCCTGACCTGCGTTAAATCTTGCCCCTGCAATCCAATGTAGTGACCAGTTTTGACAACAAAAGTTTTATTTTCAGAATTATATTTGAAGTTTTAGGGTTGTACAACTCATTGATTCATTTAAAAAATTAATTCTTTTTGTTCTGCTTTTTCCCTTTTTACTCAGGATTCGGAGGCCCCGCGACGACGAAAAGCAGGAATAGTTCCAAAACTTTACGGACGTCTCACCTGTGGGAAATCAGTCATTGCTTATGTCTGTCACCATTGCAATAAGATTTTCACAAATCAATTGGCCATCCAAAATCATGTCAGAAATGAGTGTGAATGTTTTAAAAATGTCTTGAAGTGTGAATTGTGTGATAAAATATTCACTGGCAGTGACCTACACAACTATGTTCTCCACAAGGAACTGAAACACTCAATGAGATGCTCTGTCTGTTCAAAGAGCTTTATAACTGAGAGGAGACTGGTGCTACACCGCAGATCTCAGCACCCAGAGATAAAGTTCTATTACCAGTGTGATTTGTGTCGCAAAGGCTTTAAGACTAAACCAAAACTTCTAGAACATTATAAAGACCATAGACGTCAGGAAGCTTCTGAGGTGACGAAGCTGAAGCAGTATCGCTGTTCATACTGCAGACAGGTTTGCTTTGGGTTCAAAAAATTGACTGCCCATTACAGAGAACATCAGGTAAGGATGCTGCTGCCTGCACAACTTGATTCTTGTCAAAAACCTCAAACACTTTTTGGTCCTAATTTTCTTTTTATTTCGTACAGACTGAGAAGAGGTTAGCAGAAGAAGAAACAAGAAGGTTGTCTGCATATGATAAAGTCCGTAAAAGAAGGAAGCGAAAAAAATCAGATGTGTCCATTCGGAATTTCCCAACTGTTGGAACTCTGCCTTTTGAAGGTAGAAAAATTTATGTATGCTATCTTTGTAATATCTATTTTAATGAGGCTTGCGAACTAAGGGACCACATGGAAAATCATGTAGATGGAGTGTGTATGAAGTGTCACATAGACTTTTCTACATCCGCTGATCTCAAAATACACCAAAACTTGATTCATTATTACAAGTGCAAAACGTGTTATCTTACCTTTGTGAAAAAGTCTCATCGCAAGAACCACAAAATATCATGCAAAGGAGTGAAGAATGGTATAAAACTTTAATTTTAGGAAGAAATTTGCTATTTTTTTTACTAATTTTAATTGTTTATATTATTAATGTTTCTACACTTTAGTCTTGCTAGTTTTGTACATACATTTTGCTACTCTTATAATGAATTTGTGGTGTGTGAGTTAGGCCGAAATTGAAAGAGATCAGCTATTATATTTTTGAAATAAATGTATTTAAAATAGAGTACATGTGCTGTTTCTGACCTAAGCTGTGGTGAAAAATTCATTATGGGAATGAAATGAATGTCTGTATTGTTACACACTTCGGTGTCTGTGGACCGATTTGCTTGACAAGACAGGCATGTCTGCTGCTGACAAAGACTGGTCTCAGTGTGACAAGAATAACATGATGTGACTCGAATGAATGGACTGTGGAATGAACCTATCCCCTGCGTTGGAGCGGGTAGGCAACCCCGCCGGACACAGGGAACTTGGCGCTACTCAAGCAGTCTTGCCTTACCACACCGTGCACATGCCAAAGCAAAGGCCGTAAGAGTCAGCCACGACAATGGCGATGTATCGTCACGGAGGGGACTGCTAGCTTTGCGGGGAAATGCCCGAAAATATTGTCGTGCCTTGCAGCGGCTGGCCCTACGGCCACCAAGTCGGCGCAGCCGCTCGTTTGAGTTCCTTGGTTGGCAATACCGAAGCTCGTGACGTCACTACCAGTGTCATTGTCGCGGCGAGACGAGAGCGAGACGCGTGTTTTGGTGCCACGGCCCCCTTTGACGGCCCTCGACGGCGGATTTAAGGCCCAAGACGGAGGGTACCGGTCGCGACCGTCAGCATGGCGTGCTGCATCGTCATGAACCAGCCTCCGCAGGACGTCCGTGGCGCTGACGCTGCCGAGAACGCGTCCTGCGCGGCCTCGACTGGCCTGCCCCCGAGGCACCCTAACCTCCAGCCACCTGGCCCATCCGGCCCTGGAGGATCTTCCAGTGCCTCGCCGGCCCCGCCGAGCCCAGGGTAAGGTGACAGTGGTGGCAGCCGCAGGCGGGCAGTCGGAGCGCCGGCCAGACAGCCCTAGCGAAGGCCTGGCTCTCTCAGAATGGAACTGGGGAGCCTCCGCTGAGCTGTCGCCTGGCTAGCTGAATGGACGATTTGGGTTTTGCATCCACCTGGTAGCATTCGCTCATTGGTTTTGTCGTTAGATTCATTGAAATTGATGTTGTGTTTCAGGCCTGCTGACACTGTGACAGACCATGGCAGGAGCCCAAACGCCGGTCCAGACTTCAAGGAGCCCTGGTCGAAGCTGCTGTCTCTTGCGAAAGAGAAGTCTCATGCTCGCCATGCTCGTTCAAAGGTGGAAGAAGCCTCCAGTCAAATTTCCGCATCCAAGAATGATTCAGTAAAGGATAAGCAAAAGAAGATTGCAGGTTCAGACGAACCTACGCTCAAAGATGAACTCTCGAAACCCACAGAGCCTGGTAATGAATCAACTCCTGTTGGGGCTGAAACATTACCTGCAACAAGCCTGCCTGTATCAGACGAAGTTGAATCTGAGATTACACCATTGAGATTGAGAGAAGGTAGAACGGCCAAGGTGACCACTCAATCCAAGAGGAAAAGCAGGCGGCGGGCATCATCTGTGGAGTGGGACTACAGTGGGAGCGAGTCTGCAGACACACCCCGTGTCCCACTTAAAAAAGCGAAGAATTCCAAGAGGAAAAAGAGAAATGCTTCTATTGAAATGGATTTGGCTGATGCATCGGATTCTGAGGCTGAAGGATATGAGTTTGGTAATTAATTAATTGATTGTGTCTTATAGATCTAGTGTTCTTAGTTTGCTAATCAATCGCATTAATCTTTCAACAGATGCAATGCATGAGTGCAGCATATGTAATATGAAATTTAAACGACCATGGCGGCTCCGTACCCACCTTCAGCAACATCTGCAACCGGTTAGTTGTGCTTACAAGTGCAATACAAATATTGTTCACTTTTTGTGAATCTGAAACTATTATTAAACATGTTTTGTAGGAAATTCGTCCGTTCCAATGTGATGAAGATGGGTGCTCAAAGGGATACTTTTACAAAAATCACCTAGAAAGGCACAAATCTAGGTCCCACTCTGATCTTGTCATCCTTGCTCAGACAATGTGAGTATTTCTTAATTTGTTATCTTACATTATTATTTCTATGGTACTTGCTGTTTCACTGTATAATCTTTTCCAGGTGCCCTTCTGAAGGCTGCAATAGAATATTTAAATCTCAAAGTGGTTTGAAACGCCACATAAATAAGAGCCATTCAGTTGAAAATTTGAAATTTCAATGTCCCCACTGTGATAAGAAATTTTCTAAGAACAGGCAGCTTCGGTTTCACATAGCAGAGCACAATGGAGACCCACCACTAAGGTAAATCGTGCTGCTGCCTTTTCTTGCATTTCAACCAATGTATATCCGAGCCCTTCTTCATACATTTTCTTATCTATCGTTGTCTTAGGTGTGAGCAGTGCAACGCTGGAGTGTTCTCTGACAGGGATCTAAAACGTCACATGAGGACCCACAAACAATATGTCTGTGATGTGTCTGGATGTGATAAAGTATTTTCAACGTACCCTGCTTTTCATAAACACAAGGCTGAGCACAACAAATGTTTTCAGTGTAAGTTCATGTTGAGTTTCTTAAGGTTGTAGACACACCAGAATTAATGTTCCTTTAAATTAATAATAATTGTGAATTTATTTCCTGCAGCTTTAGAATGTGCTCACTGCAATAAAGTATTCAAGAAGAAGTCAGATTTGAGAAATCATGTTCTGACCCACTTGGACCAAAGAACAATATACAAGTGCACTTATGATTCATGTCCTAGGTAAGCCACTATAGATATACCTAGTCACTTTTCTTGACGTAAGCCTCTCAGTCCCACAGTTAGTGTTCATAATTTTTGTCACATGTCATTGTCTTTTTCTAATAATTTTTATGTGTGTTGTTTTTTTTTTTCAGGTTTTATTATCAGGAAAGAAACTTAAATAGCCATATACGAGTTTATCATGAGAAGACCTCTAGCTTTGCTTGCAGCTGGGAGGGTTGTGAGATGCAATTTCTCAGCAAGGTAGGATTCTTGTTTGATACTTTTTCTTTCACCCATTCATGTTCATTCACTGTTTGGACACACATTATACATTTGTTTTATTTCAGAAAGCACTTACTAAACACCTCATGATTCATGAAAAAGGCAGAGCAGAACCGAAGAGGAAAGAGGGGCCTAAGGCTCCGCGCAAAGATAAAGGTCTTCCCAAGCGAGCTATGGCCACAAAACTAGCTGGAATGCTAGTCAACCGCGGGGTGGAAAAAGTCCTTCTAGCTCCGGATCGAACTGTGGAAGTGCTCGACTTCAGAGAAGAAAGCCCCGACTGTCCTACCCGTAGAAACAAGAAGCTTTCTTCGAGATCAAAAATGTCCAAATCAATGTCGAGTTCTTCAGCTTCTGCGACATCTGGACAAGGCAGCTTGTGTTCGACTGACTCTGTTGACATTGTCAATGAAAACAATGTTGTGATTCTGCAAGATGAGGGCGCTCTATGTCCCTTGCCGATTGGAGAGGACGATAGTATTATTTCAAGCTTGACTGGCAAAGTTTTCGAAGTTGGGAAAGGGGGTGTTTTGATTGAAGTAGAAAACAACTCTCAAATCATTGATGCAAACAATTCTGGTCCAACTGAAGGAAATGCCCATCCCACGGAAGCCTGCTCACTCTCTGAAAACTGCCTCGCCTTGCCAGAAAAAGAACAAACTTTGGAATCTGTGGATGGAGTATCAATGGATTTGGAGAATATGCCTCTTATTTTTGATTCAATTGAAGAAAATATATCCTGTCAACAGACTGGCTCTCTTACTGAAGACTTCTCGGATAGAACAGCTTCGTCTGAGAAGAATAAGACTTCAGAGATTGGAGATGAAGCTGCTTCAATTGAATTGAGAGGAAGTTCTTTGATAGCTGCTGACATGGCTGATAATATCTCAGATACATTGGATGAAAACTCTCTCTCTGGAGAGACTCAACCATGTGCTGAAACATGTCTCAACAGTGCAGTTATATTAGAGAAGGATAATGAAACTAATCTACAGTCTCCTGAAGAAAATGTGATTATGATAGAAATTAATGAATCTGATAATGTTGTGAAATCCAATGTTCTCACACTTTCATGTGAGGAAAAAGGAAGTAATGGTGATGTAATCCCTGTGGAAAGGCCTGTGACGCCCACCACTATAAGAAATATTGTGAAACTTGTCAGTCCTCCATTTAGTTCACAAGCTGATGAAATTGCAGCAGTTTATGAAAGTGGGTGCATGTTGTCAGCAACTCTATGTGCTGAAACTATAGTTGATGGTCCACATGGGGAGAGTGAAGCAATTCTCCTCATCCCAGGACAGAAGCTATCTGCTGGTGAGGCTTCAAGTGCCAGAGTTGTGGAAGTGCTCAGTGGGGACATGGAAGTGTATTCTGTGGCAGGAAAAAATGCTAATGAAGTTTCGTTCGGAAGCTCTAATGAAAGTACCGAAAACAGCCCTGTCAAGAGATTGACATTAGATGATCCTTCCGTAGCCAGCATTCTGCAGCCACTCTTACAGGAGTTAACACACAAATCTAACCCCTCTAGTAATAGTGTAAAGAGTGCATCGAAACCTGCCAAGCTGGTGAGGAACCCAGCACATTATCACAATGTTGTCTGCAAATTGGCAAATTTCATTCGTGCCAATGCGGAAATAGTTCCATTGAAAGCTGGTAAATGCAAGAAAGGGAGATCACATCGAGACAACCTTCAAGGCCCCACCCAGGAGGCAACTCATTCTGACAGCTCCTCCGTTAGTGAGTCCGATGGCAGCCGTAGTGATTCGGGTTCAGATGATGACCGAAACGACTACAACGAAGATGACAGCGGGTCTGATGATAATGCCAGCAGTGATGGTGATGGAGGAAATGAAGACGACGAAGATGGGGATGATGATGATGAGGTTGATGAACAGCCTGATGATGACGCTGATGGTGAAGACGAAGATGGTGAAGAGAATAATGATAATGATGAAAATGGGAATGATGGGGCAGGGAACCTAAACGGAAATGATGATGATAATAACAACAATGATAACAATGAACCTAATTCTGAGGGTTCAGAAGAGCCACATGAACCTGACTCTACCAATGGGCACCAACATATCAATGGTGGGTCAGACTTGGGGGTTGATCGTGCCTCTAGTCCGAAACAAAATGCTTCTTGTGAAGATGATGTTCTTAGCACACACAGTGATGATCTCGTCATTGACATTGAGGCTTATGAAAGTGAAAAAGACCCGGCAGGTAAGGCGAGCTCACAGGAAGAGGAACAGGAGACTGCAACCAACAAGAGCCCACCCCAATGTGCTCCCTCTCCAGAGAAGGATAACTCCATGGTGATACGAAGAAGCAGGAGACTGAAGCAATTGGAGGCCAGCAAGATAAGTGCAGAAAATGCCAAACTAGTGGTAAGAAATGCTTTCACAGAGCTGATGCGCAAGAAGAGGTGTTTTACTGAAGCTGATAATCGCATTGCAACCAGATGCGATAATGAACTAGCTGCTGGGAAAGAAAATGAGACTGTTTCTGCTGCTACGAATACCTCAAAAAAGAAACAGCAACAGCCACCTGTTAGAACAAGATTAAAGAGAAAAAATAAAAAAGGCTTGGATGTTCTGGAAGATGGGAAAAATAGACCTCAAGAAGTGAACACTTGTGAAAGTGACTCTAGTGGTTCTGATATTATTCAGCCTTGTAAAAAGCGGAGGTGCAATATCGATGATGATTCCGATTCCTCTGTACCTCAAAAAATTGATGGCAATCTGTCTAGTCCAACAAACACCATGGTCAAGGAGGAAAGCGATGCAGACCTAGATTCATCACCAGACCGAAAAAGTCCTCTTCAAATGTCTTTAAAAGCTTCTAAAATAAATCTATTAGCATCATTAAAGGCATGTCAAATTGCATAACAATTTTTTTCGTTCACTTCATAAATGTTGGTTACAGTTAGTTAATATCTTAAAATTTTCAATTCTTTTCCAGAGTTCATCTTTATTGCCCAATCAGGATCGTCTTGGCAGTTCCGTAAAGAAAGAGGATATGCTCCTTTTGGAACCAAAGGTGCAACTTCTTCAACTGCATCCATTTTGTTTTTGTATTTACACTATCCTTAACAATAGAATTTTTGTTCTCCTTTTTACAGAGCGAGCCTATAATCTCTAGAGGATGCAGCCAGCTATCAGAAATAGCATGGATAAGAGTTCTGCGTGAAGCTAGCAAATTTATGAAGCTCTCGCTAACTGCTGCTGAAGACTGACTTTCTCAAAACACGGTAGAAGAAATCAAATGAAAACTCCTACCAATTTTTTTTCTATTTTGGGGGGGAAAAGGGGGGGGGATGGAGGAGTGTACGCTCAAGATTACTAAATAATCCAAACATTGTGAGAGATTCCAGGGTTTGATTAGGATACTTTTATTTTGTTATTGTTATTTATTTTTTGATCATATACGTGAGTAATGTGTCAACTTTTGTGATATGTGTATCTAGTTTATAGTAGTTTGTAACTGGGATTTTTCTTTTATTGGTTTTTTATTTTCTTGGAGATTTTGATTTTACTCGTTTTCTCCACAAATCTCGTTAATAACACTGTTGTATGTTGTCTTGTTACTCTGTAGTACTACAGTATGTATATCATATTTAAAAAAGGAACTGGGCTGAGTTTGGTGGGGTTCAAAAGTAAGTCTTGAAGTTGATGCACTATCAGTATATAGTGTCATTTTTGTTAGTGTCCTCTAAATTTATAAAATACTACTCTACTATTTAAGAAATAAGAATGTATTTTACATTACTTGCGTCTGCATGGACTTTGAAGTTAGTTCTCTCCGCTTTCCTTATTCTTAACAAAGAAATGTGATGTCTGGTATGATGAATAAAGAACGAGTGCTGTATTTTGTTAATCTCAAAGTTCTTTGTTTTGTTATCTCCTTGCATATTCACCTTCTTTTCTTGAACTGGCACTGCAGTGATTCATCAAGAAGATTCAGACCAGATGGCGAGTCTCGTACACGCCCAAGCTTAGTCTGCAGCTGGCCAAGGAAGTACAGGGCCTGCACCTGAATATAGAACCTTTTTATTTATATCCATTTTAAAATAAACTGAAGTAACACCAGGAATGCAGGGAAAATCCGGCAGGTGACCTGTTCTGATAGCATTGTTTTTGAAATGAAGTCTGCGGTGGGTGCGTCCTTGCATCTCCGCGCCACCTGGTGCACCAGCAGGAGGGACTCTGTGACCTGCACAGTCAACCAGACGGGAGGGGGGGTTGAAGCACCGGCAGACCTATTTCGAGGGGTCGTCCCGTCGCTCTCGTGGGGTGTCCCTTGAGGGTGCGAGGGAGACACGGCACAGCCGACGAAATGACTCCGGGCTCGGTCAGTGCAGTGCCTCGCCTGTCGCTCCATGTGGACGGCGGTGCAGAGGGCCGCTCGCAGCGTCTCCCAGGCGCAGCCCTGGCAGTTGAAGCCGACGGGGGTCTCCGGGGCGGGGATGTCGACGGGCACGTAATGGCCTCCGCGCCTCACGAGCCAGCGCCCCAGCACGGCGGCGTGCTCCAGCTCCTCCTCGGCGTTGGCGCGGAACATGGAGGAAGCGCCCGCCAAGGACACCGCCACCCCCGAGAGGTGGGCCGCCTACCCTGGGGTCAGTCGTTCTGTCTCCGTCGCACTCATGGGGCCGCCCGTAGAGACAGCGCCGCGGGCGTGAGTACCAAGGCGGTGTACTGGAGGCTGGCCGTCAGCTCTTGGCCGATCTGCCGGTTGAGCTGTGTCTGCACGGGGGCGGGCAGGGGGAAGACCTGGGGGTCCGGGCACGGCGCGCAGGCCGCGCCGTCGCCGCAGCCCGGCCCTCCGAGCCCTTTGCCTCCGCCAGCCCGGGCGGGTGCTCGCCACTGCAGCCCCCGAGCGAGTCGCAGCGGCCGCAGCGAGGCCAAGGAGGGCTGCAGGACGGAGGACGACACCGACAACATCCTGGCCAAAGCCGCCGTCTTCTCCGGGTTCGCGCCAGCCACTGTTGGACAGAACGGCCAACAATGCCTCCCCTGGCGGTGTCGTGGTGCGTCGACACCGAGTCGGTCCGGCTCGACGCGGCACGCAGAGTGGTGCCTGATGCAGGCCCGCGGCCGAAGCGCCTCGCGGCTCGGCCACCCTTGCGGCGCCTGTCGCTCTCCGCGGCCGAGAGGTGGCGCCACTTCCACGCCACAGTCGGTCCCCACTAACTCCCCGTCACACGGAGCGCGTTTTCCCAGCGCGCAAGTTAGGCGGCACCGTCTGTACACTACCTCGCGGTGCGGTCCCGCATCGCCGGTTTGGTTGGGTAGGACCAACTGAGCACTCACACATCTAAGATTATACTTCACAGAATCATTTCTGTAGTATATCTTCCTTTCTCTCTACTCAACAGTAGAATAGAAAACTCCACGATGATGAGGTGTAATCCTCTTCCCTGAGCGTGAGGCCGACTTCAGTGGACATTGCCCGTTTGCCCGTCATGTCCCTGAGTCATCGATGACCGTTCTTTGGATCTTCGGGTTCAAGATGGGAAGGGGATAACCTGAGTGGCCCCACCCAATATTTAAATGTATCTTATAAGCTCAAATTTGAGTTCTTGTGGCTGTTAGTCGTCCAAGTTCCGCGCACCATTATCTGAGACAGGCTTTCGGCGCTGTCATGTAAAATATCCTGAGTGGGTCCGAGAAGGGCACATCGCTCGGGAAGTGGGAGCGGTCTGTCCGCTATGCGCGGTATTCACAGTATGTCCGCTATGCTGGCCAGCGGCTGAAAGGAGTTTGAGTTGGTCGGGGAGCATGTGGTCGAGGAGGTGTCTCCGCGTGCCGTCTGCCGGACTCTGTCCGCGGCGCGCCGGCGCGCTCACAGTGGACTCCTCCTGACGGTTGCGCTGCGCGCCTCCGAGAGACCGTGCAAGTCCGAAGCACGTCAAGACTTTGCCAATAAGCAAGGACCGGCTGAAACGACCAGAAGACGGAGATATTTTGAAAAATACTGTAACGGGGATTTGAGAACAAAATAAAGTAAGCAGCGTGGTGGCACGGTAGGTGGCACTTGCGGGGTATCGCGGCCGAGTGAGCGGAGTAGCCGCGACGGCCGCCGATACTCCGCGCCCGGAAAGTTGCCGCGAACGCCGCGAGAGAGCGCTGCGAGATGCAGCAGGGAGAGCTGGGCCCGACAGTGGACAGCATAAAAACCGCAAAACCTGGCAAAGGCGGCAGGTACCATTTCAAATCAACGAAAACGAAACCGGGTGGTTGTTGTCCTATGCAAATTTACGTTTTCATGCAAATTTCGGGCGGACCCGAGGATTAGGTTGATTCCGGGCGTGGTTGTTTTGCAGTGTGATGCCGAAACACCGCCACTGGCACTTCCCTCTTATCTAAAACGTTTTCACGAGGCGTCTGGAATGGGATGCACACTGCAGAGACGGTGGCACCCAATGCATCACAGTGGACCAGCGAGTCCTGTTCGGCCACGAAAAAACAGCGCGGCAGCGGATGACTTATTGAGCGTTTAAGATAAGTCCTTGAGTTTTCAAAATGGTTACTTGGCAGCTACCTGCACGTCCTCCAAAGTCCTCGGTAAGCTCGCACGTATTGGCGGGCCAAAAATGGAATTGAAAAGGGGTCCGTTCCAGAATGATTGGCGCGCCCAGGATATGCAGCGCAGGCAGCGCAGAGGGAGGAGATCGCTCGCCTTTTTTCATCCGGCGTAATCCCTGTGCCGGGCGGGCCGCGGCGGGCCGGCCCACTGGAGGGGGAATCTAATTATTTGATTAGATTGTACAATTTAACTTGGTGTTATCGCTGGTGCCGCAGCCGCGCGGAGTGAGCGGCGCGGAGGGGAGGGTGGTTGTGACACTGGCCTGCACGCTCTGTCTCTCTCGCTCTCGTGGGACGGCCCGTACGGGTGCGAGAGAGACAGACTCACCCTGCTGGGCCGGGCGAGGCGGGGTAAGTAGGGACTTAGGGATGTTCCCGACCGCGCGGCCACCAGGCTGCCACCGCCGCCACCCGCGTCGCAAACTCACGCGGAATTCTCCCACCCCCACCCTTTCCCCGCCCACAGTGTGGGCCACACGCCCCCCTGACAGCTCCGTGAACAGTCAAGTACTGGATCCGCTTGGTGAGATGCTTTCCAGGCAGCACAGCGGAGAATGGGACAGGACCTCATTTTGATAGATTTTTATTCAATAGGCAGTGGGTATTGCAAGTGAAAATACAGAGTAGGGGGCATAATATAAAATAATAACCGGAGAGTTTTGAGCGGTTTTGACGCTGTCGTGTTGGTTTTTGTCGGAGCATCGCATCACAATATCACACCTAATGTTGCAGACGAGCTGCTTTATGGCAGTGGGCTGAGGCGCTGGAGTCGTCCAGCCACTGGACGGAACGCTTTGATCTCCGGCCAGACGCGCTCTGTCTCTCTCGCACCCCTGCGCGACCCGCGGGCCGACCCACGAGTGCGAGAGAGACAGAGCGCTGCGACGTGTGAATGAAGACGAGACGGCTTTATGAACCGTGCAAGATGGAAGCCGGCTGTTCATGAGGTGAACACCGAACAGTGCGGTGCCCTAACAGTGCACTAACGAACTCGCACGGGGTCGCTAGCAATGCCTTGGCGCTGGCTTAGTTGCAGCACCTCTCCATTCATACCAATTCATGCATCGAGTCCACTCGGCGGGGGCGTGGAGTCCACGCCGTGGACGAGAACGCGTTACCAGTGTGGTGGAAAACCGTTCCGAGATGTTCGTCAACAGTTTACAAGTTTTGAGAACTTTGTACCTCCGCCAACTCACGCGCGCATGAAGTGATGAATGAAAAGTCCACGACTGAAATTCGCTCGAAAAAGCTCGAAACGTTTGCTGAATATCCGCACACGCGCGGCCCATTTCGCTCTGTTGTGATGTCGGCTGCGCCGGAGGGCATCGAACGAGACGCAGTCGAATTGGAAAAAGAGGGGGGGGGGAGATGAGGAGGTTCGCGCATCACCTGCGACCGCCTTGACTGCCTGCGACGCACCAGTGGGGCCACCTACTAAAACGGGATAATTGGCGCAACCGTAATTTTGTTATGACACTCCTTACGGTGCATCGCTGCCAACCTTTCTGCCCGAATCACCCCACGCCGGCCAAAAGACTAGTTCTGCTGAACGACGCGGTCTTGTCTTTTGTTTTCGTTTATTTTATTCTTGTTGTGGTCAAAGTAGGAGACATTTGGCAGGATGATGGGGACAGTTGCCAAGTGATCTCAATCAAAAGGATGCCAGAACAAATAATAAAAGAAGTGAATGAAAAGTAAACAGACTGAGTGTTTTAAATTAGGCCGGAACGGTGCACGAGCTAAGAGTTTCCCACCTCAGCAACGGTGGCATGCCTTAGAATTTGGGTTCTCTGGCCGACAGCCGCTCGGGCCCGTCCCCGGGTCCGTTCGGGTCCGTTCGGGTCCTCCGTTCGTTCGCCGTGCAGAGGAACCACCACACGCCACACCACAACGCCATTACCGCCGCAACCCCGGCACATTCTATAAAGTCATCGCCTGAACGGATGGATGGCCGCATGGCCGTTCGGGTTGAGTGGGGTTGGTAACGAGGCTGGGGCCCGGCCGGCTGTCCCGTCGGCTGGTCCCTGAGGACACACACACACACATCCATACACACACACACACACACACACATACACACACTCATACACACACGCACGAAAAAAGGGGGTAGCTTTACAACCCTCTCCGCAACAAGGTTATGGTTCCGAGTGCGTAGCATGCAGGACGCCAAAACACACACCGCTCCAATAAATCAATACGGTCATTATCGAAATGCAGTCGCAATAGGACAAGGCGCTCGCACACACGCACGCACACACACACACCAACACGCGCGCGCGCTTGCAGTGGCCGGCCACCAACCCTTTCATTAGAGAGACACGTGCTCGCATCGCGACAGGTGCATTGCTGTGCGATGACCGCGTGGTGCAAAAAAAGGATTTTATTCCAAAAACGAAACCAAAACAATAACGATCCCTTCCGGGTCTGCTCAACCTTCGGTATGGAGCGTCTTCTCCGATAAGCGGACATAAATATTCAAATGGGGCCGCTGGGCCGTGGATTCCAAGCGACTCCACGCGGTGGCGCCTAGACCTTGATGCTCCGCTTCCAGTTTCCAGCCTCTTTGCTCTTTTTGCCGGTCTCGTTTCGGGAGCAACCTTTGCGGACCGTTCCTCCTCCTCGACTCATCTCGTCGCCAAGTCCGCCAGGTTGTCGCCGGCCGGCGCATCCCGCATCGCTGGTAGTCTGGGCGCGAGGTTTTGCCCATTTTATTCCGATGCCGTTTCGGTTTCGGGCGTGGCGGTATATAAAGCAGGACCGTGGACCCGTACGGCACTCAGTCGCCCAGCGTCCACCGAGCAGCACCATGAAGTTCCTGGTAAGCACGCCGCCTCTGCAGCACGCCGTCGTCGTAGTCCTCGGGGGTGTTGGTGGTCTCGGTGACGCCCTTTGTCCTCGCAGATCCTCGCCGCCCTGGTGGCCGTGGCCGCCGCCGACTACCACGACGACACCTTCCACTTCTCGTCGCTGGGCAGCGCGACCGGCCTGAGCGGCCTGAGCGGCCTCCAGAAGAGCTCCCTGAAGCAGTACACCGTCCAGGCCGTGCCCGCCTATCGCCAGCAGTACGCCGCCGTGAGGCAGGTGGCCGCGCCCGTGTTAGCCCAGGTGGCCGTCCAGCAGCCCGCCGTGCTGCAGTACTCGCAGTACTCGTCCGCGCCCGCCGCCTTCGCCAGCAGCGCCAGCTACTCCGGCCTCAACGCCCCCAAGTGGCGCATCGTGTCCCAGGTCCAGGAGGCCGACCCCGCCGGCCCCTACAAGCTGAGCTACGCCACCGAGAACGGCATCCAGGTCAGCGAGCAGGGCTCCCTGGTCAACAGCGCCGAGGGCCCCGCCGTGGCCGCCCAGGGCTCCTACTCCTACACCGGTGACGACGGCCAGGTCTACTCCGTGAGCTACGTGGCCGACGAGAACGGCTTCAGGGCCGCCGGCGACCACCTGCCCACCCCTCCGCCAATCCCCGCCGAGATCCTCCGGTCCCTGGAGGAGAACGCCCGCAGCGGCGAGCAGTACGACGAGCAGGGCAGGCTCCTCAGGAACTGAAGCGGAGCGGAGTCAGCTCCCTCTTCTGTGATATTCGACAAGTTTACACCTATTGCTCCGCATCGGAGAACAAAGATAATTGTGATGAAATAAAATGAATTACACCAATTAACTGCAAGTGTTATCCAAAGCGCAAAACTTGACTTTGCATCGCCTGATCGGCCACCCTGCCTGCCTGTCTTATCTTTTCTGCCAGTGTGTCCGCTCGGCCACTTCTGCGAAGGCTGGAAAGGCTGCTGTCCGGGCTTTGGCCATCCCTTGCGTGCCGCTGGAGGCGTGGCCGAGCGGGGTGGCGGAGGGCTGGACAGCGCGATAAGAAAGATGAACCATTCTATTACCGTCCCTCTCGGCCCCTCCCAGCCCCTCCAGTAGCCACGCCACTGGCAAGGCCGGCAAGGCCACTGGC